GGTTAAATTGGTTCAAATTCATTAATAAAATAGCTACCTATATGGCCAAAGATTTAATAAAAATATTTTATGGATTAAACATTAAGATCAAAGATTTTATAAATGCCATAAACAACCCATGTTTTTATTCCCGTAAGGTCATCATAAAAACACTTATTTTCAAAATAATTTTGTGATATGAAGAAAAAATTCCATTCAAGGTGGTCTTCAAAAAAACCACTATCAGTGAAAACTAATTCTCCCATTGGTACCAAAGTTGAGAAGAAAGATGGGAGAGTCAGTTCTCACTAGAACTTGTCTCTAAATCTTAGGCTGAATGCATGGTGCAAAACAAAATAAACTTTTAAAATGTTTTACTTAAACAGTTAATGTAAAGTGCTGTCTTTAAAGATTCCATTTACCAAGTTTTTTATAGCAGAACAACATTTTTTTTTTGGGATTACAATTTTTTTTTATTATAAGTACATAAATATATTGTTATATTTAGCAATTAACATTTTCAATGTTCAATAGCAAGATTGAATTTTCAAATTTTCTGGTGAACTAAAAAGTTACAGCTAAATTATGATAAATTCTATTATAGGTATAATTTAGATGTGTTGCTTGCCATTTGGATGTGTGGATAGGACAAAAAGTAGCATTTTGCATGTTTATACAGTTTTTGCTATGTTAAGGTTGAGCTCAATTAACCATAATTAAAAGCTTGTCTGACCTGAGCCTAAATTACCAGTTTAACATTAACACAGGTTTTTATTTATTGTATAATATTTTATGAAATTTTAACATATTATGTATCAACACAACAGACTTTAAGTAATGGTTTTTAGCCAACCAACAGACAGATTGTATTATAATGATTTGTATACTTAACCAATCTTAAAGAAACTTCAACTTTGTAAAATTAAAAAAAATAAAAGCCTAGTTTTATAGTGAATACTATCAGTAGGATTCATGTAAAAAGCTGCTTTTAAGTATAGACTTATAATTTTGGCATATCATGACAACTTGTGTTAATTGTAATGCTAAATTATTAACAACTCAAACTATTATCTAGTAACATTATTAAATACTAGACAAATAAAATAAAAATACTACCTGGTGTGATCAGGACCAACCGCTTTATAAACATAATCAGCATTGATCTTATTCACTTGAATGAACTGATGCAATTTAGACTTAGCATTTTCCATCATCCAATTACCATGTAGTGCAGCATTAACATCCAGGTCTTCAGCCTCCTCAACATTCTTTTGTTGTTGCATTCTATCAATATAAGTAAAGTTCTCGGATGAGCCACCATAAGCTTGGTAAGCGGGGCCCATCTTTTCAGGGCCCATTCCTTCCTAGAACATTTAAACTAGTGTAGTAAAAACCCTATATAGATAGAAGAACATACATTTTCATTTAAAATATTTAAAACATTTGCAGTCTTTCAAATATTTATGGCAATAAATGTTTTGGGGACAAATACCTGGAAAACTGGTTTATTTTGTATTGCTTGGAGTTTCATACTATCAATGCCTGAGGCTGGGGATGTAATATCAGGGGCTTCATTTTTAATCAGTACATCTGCTGGAACTTCTGACTCTGTTACCTCTCCCGAACGCACCAAAAAGGTAATGAAATCTCGGGAGGCATTCTTTTGAGCTTCTTTTTTTGTGATTGAGTTGCCGGCACCAACATAAGTGTAACCATCTACGCGAACTTCACACAGAAATCTTTGGCGATGTTTAGGCCCTGTTTACATAAAATATTTAAAGTACAATGGTACCTCGACATACAAGTTTAATTTGTTCCATAACCCTGCTTGTATGTTAAATATCTCAAAGCTCCCATTGAAATAATTGAAATGCCATTAAACCATTCCAGTACCCATAACACCACCTCATTTGTTTTTGATTAAGAAAATGATTTCACTCTTGAATTCATCATCTTTGGGCCAATGGTTTTTAAAATAAATGTGATAATATTTTGGAAATGTACAAAAAGCAAAAAACGAGAACGCGACTGAGGTCTAATCTGAGGTGGGAGAAACTGTTAGTGTAGTGTGCGATTCCTCGTATCTCAAAGCAAAAATATCGCTCGCTCGACTGCTCATACCTCAAAACACTCGTATATCGTGGTAACACTGTAGTTTTTTTTTAGTAAAGACAAACTGGTGGAAGTGGTGGTTAACTTGACTGTGGACAGATCTTTAATGATATAGGCGATGTTAAAACATCGTCACATAAACTTTTCAAGGATAAATTAATGTCTATGTTATCGATATTCTTAATACCTTCCATCATTAGTTTAGCGAGTATCACACAAATAAATTAGAACGCTTACCGGTGGCACGAATATCAAACTGCGGTGTTAAACCTTTCTTTGTCGTCCAAGCATGTAAATAGGACTTGACGTCCATTTTTGAAGAAATAATTTGTTTTATTTATTCTCGTTAACTCGCATTAATCAATTAAACTTATTAAAGTAAAGTCTATATAATAAATAATAATATAATTAGTATAAGCCTTAAGGGTTAAACAGTGTCAATGGTACAGTAAAGTGTAAACTGTTTTTTTTTTTTTTTTTTTTTCATAACCATGGAATGCCATGGATACAGAGTCCTTCAGTCGGAATCATAGAGATTACATAAGGTCCTTAAAAATATGTAATGGAATTTATAGCATAAATATAACATTTGCACTTTAAACATTCTTAAGCAATTAAGTTAATACAAATTGTAATTATACAGTACAGTATTGCCAGTATAATATTGTAATTTGTAGTCCTGCAATGGTAGAAGTTAGAACACGAAATAAAATAAGGGGGGAGCGTGCCTTTATGACGTCGACACAGATTACTTGTTCCTAGTATAAGAAGATATATTATAATATCCAACCTTAGGCTTAAAAATAAGTTCCTATAGATGGATTTTGTATTTTTATAAGGGTACAGAACCAAGACCTTTTTTTTGCTAAGACCCAGTTGGCTATTTTAGAAAATGTGGACATAAGTTAGCAATTATGATAATAATGAATTTGTTATATTATGCGATAATTGTTACCATATTAATTTTGGTATTTTTATATACATAACAACAGCTTATGGGATTTGGGCAGCTTAATTTTTCAATAATTAATTCACAAAGAAGATTCACTTCTGACATGTGTACTTTGTACGCACGAACTTTTTGAAGTGAAAACTTCTTTATGGCGAATGCTACACGCTCGATATTTATCGTGATATTTATTGAGATGTTTATCTAGTATTTTTTTGGTATACTACACATTCAATACGAATCGCGTCAGTACGACGGTAAATTTCATTGAGTATACTCGTACGTTTCGTGTTACAATAATGAGTAACAATATTAAGAAAGCTTGCGTTGCCATTTTTATTATTATTATTATTATTATCAGCATATGCTGATATATATCAATATCCAAGACTTTAACGATTGTAAACATTTTCCGCTGCAGCACCAGATCGCTTCAAATCTGTTATTTTTTAAATTATACAACACCATTAGGAGCAAGAAATCCCTTTATCGTGGAAGATGTAAGCTTTGAACAATGTGAGGTTACTTGGGCACAATGGTGACTAGTGATAACAATCCCAGCCGAGAGATCAGTAGACGCATCATGATGGCAAACCGCAGCTACTTTGGCCTTCGCAGATATTTCCAATCGCGACTTCTCAGGAAGAATACCAAGATTGTTGGACCTCTGCTGCGACCAGTGCGATTGAACTACTGAAAGTGAAAAAAATAACAGTCATAGAATCGTGGTGTACAAGAAGTTACACGACGACTATGTGCGTTTTCCAATTACAGAGCATTATGCGACTCAGTGCCGCACAATGCGAACGTGAATTAGTTTTCAAATGCATCAGCAGAGTGCGCTAAGTCAGTGTTGTAAAAAAATGTTATGAATTGAGTTAGCAACCTCATTAATGTATAAATAATGTGGTAAACAATAATAATTGGTTGAAAACTTTTTACGCTTATTTTAATCATCAAATTATTTCATTAACATTTTTTTTATTGAAATAATAGAAAACCTTTAAAGAATATAAGGTTTTAACAAGCTAAATTAACAGTAAAATATTTAGTTTCATGTTACATCATTTACGTTTTGAGTAATATTTTTTAATTATTTCTAAAAAAATTATATACTTTTTCAAAACCATTGCAATTTTTTCTAAAGTATAATCCTGTAAAATAAATTTGTTTACAGATCCGAATTTTAAAATAAAATTGTATTCATATTTTAAACGTGGAATATAAAAAAAGTAACTATTTATACCTTCATCCATACTAATATTTATTTTTTTTAGCAGTTTAAAATAACTTTAATTATTTTCAAAATCTACGTCGAAACGAAAGCCTTACAAATTTTTCAAAAATAAATAATATTTACTAACGAAAATTTCGATAAATGCCAACTTAAAGAAAAATACTGGTCAATTTTCTGTCACTGTGTTGGTATTGTTTGCGAGAAGCATGCGAGAGCATTCGTTTTGAGAGTGCTCAATTGTGCGAAGCGTTGCTGTAGTTGGAACACTCAACGTTGAGCATTATGCCGCAAAATGCGCTCTAGTGCTGTAATTGGAAAACGCACTATATCGCCGATATTGTCTATAATGTTTATCATCTTCCTAGCCTGTGTTCAATATTTCATCTGTGGCGCCCACTTTCTGTTATTATTTTCAATATATTGTATTTTTACTGTTCACAAGAAATTAAACAAGATCTTGTATTAGGATTGAATTAAAGTGAAATTTAATGAATTCGGATATAAAAGTTCCATAAAAAATATAACGAAATGATTACTTTTTTTTTCAAATTAATTTAGCACCATCGTCATTTTTAATGCGTTGAAAAAATATACAGTTGTTCTGAGACAAAGGCAGGTATTCTATTGTGCAATTATAGTGTATTACAGACGTAGTAATTAATATAGGTAAATTATTTCTAATAGGAGGCGTAATTAGCAGTAAGTAAGTGGCAGTGAAGGGAGATGTCGCGAGAAGGCGAAGTCGAAGGAGCAGAGAAAGCACTGCTAGAAAACATTGCTAACGAGCTTATGCAGGAGTGCAGGCATAGCGCGCCTGGAGCTCGTCTTACTGCCCGAGTGCGCACTGCACTTGAAAGGTGATCTTTCTAGTGTATGTTGTTGTATGTTTTTTGACATAGATCAGAAAAAGATTGTATGTACCATATTGAACATATTAACCATTGTCCTAAAATTGTTTCAAATTAAAAAAAACCTTTGTTTAAAAGTGCTGATGATGTTTAGTGGAGGTATAATTTCTTTTAACTGGTCTCTATTAGATATAATGAAATATGATTTACATTTTTTAAGATCTATGGGGTGATCACCATATACCAATATACATTATTTGTGAAACTTATGTAATTTTTAACTCAATAAACAATATCCTTTCTGTGAATTAATTTGAGTACACTTCTCTAGTTGTAATTTGTATTCCTTCTTACATATCAAGTTTTAGTAATGTTTCTGTTTCCTTGAATTAATAAATATAAATTATGAACCATACAAAGTAAATTATTGTAGTATCATTCCACTTTGTACTACGTACTTTGACTTGGGACAACACTGCAGCGGGCTATAAAATTAGAGTGTTTCATGGTTGCATGATCAGATTGTTATAAAAAACTTTTTTTTTTAGATTGTCTCCAGTCCAAAGACGCGAAGTCGTGTCTCGTACCCGTGATGGCTGTGCGCCATTGTTCGTCGCGTGCCGGCGTGGCAACGCTGAGTTAGCTGAGTACCTTGTGCACGTGTGTGATGCTCCTCTGGAGCAGCGCGGTGTCTATGAAGTACCAGATGATCGTTCAGCGCACTCCGTCACGCCTTTGTGGTGCGCCGCCGTGGCCGGACGCCTTGCTGCCCTCACAGTACTTGCCGATGCGGGAGCCGACCTCAACGCCGCCTCCGACTCGGGCTCTACGCCTGTACGCTCCGCTTGCTTCATGACGCACTTGGACGTGGTAGAATTTCTCGTGCAACGGGGCGCTGACGTTAACCGGCCCAACCATCACGGAGGTACATGCCTCATTAACTCAGTGCAGTCAGCACATCTTTGTGCCTATCTATTGCAGCACGGTGCGCGAGTCGACGACTGTGATACCCAGAACAAAACTGCCCTCCACTATGCAATCCAGGAGCACCGAGTTGAAACCGCGCGCCTGCTTCTACGCCATGGCGCATCGCCGCATCTAACGTCGCGCGCCGGTGACGACGCTCTGCGGACTGCCTGCCTCAAAGGCGCCTCACAAATCGTTGCGCTCCTACTGGCCTCGGTACCATACGGGTCCGAGCGCTGCGCCGACGCACACGAATTGCTCGGTGCTACGCAGCTCGACGAGTTCAACGACGTCGCTGCGGCTCTAGCGTCTTGGCGTCGCGCCACCGACATTCGTTACGAGGTCGACGGCTACATCGAGAAGCGACCGTGGCTGCCGCAGGAACCGGACGGGGAAGCGCTTAGGGCGGTCGCTGGCGACGCTCTCGAAGGAGCCCACGAGTGGCGCACGCTCGAAGAACTCGAGGAGTTGGCGACGGACGCGGATTTGCTGCGAACGCAGGCGTTGCTGGTGGCTTCAAGAACACTAGGCCCCTCGCACAAGGACTGCATGTTTCGCCTCATGTATCGAGGCGCCGCTTACGCCGACGCTGGCCGGTATCAGCGTTGCGTCGATCTGTGGACCTGGGCGCTGCACGTGCGAATCGTGCGCGACACGCTACTGCACGCAGACGCTTGTCACACCGCCAGTGCCCTCACGCGCCTATTGCTCGACGCGCAGGCGGGCCGTCTCGAACGTGCCGTCGGTATGCCGCGTCACGAGGACGTGGCGCGCGTTTTTGAACTCGTCGCTGGTCACCTACCGGAGTGCCGACGTGCTTTAAACGCGAGACCGATGCACAAGAAACAGGCGGAGACGTTTGATCGTGCGCTGCGATGCGTGACACACTTGCTGCATCTACTATTGGCGACGGCGCGCGACGACCGGCAGCGCGAAAGTACAGCGGCAGCTGCTCGGCGCCTGGTGGAGGCCGACGTACGCAGCGCGCACACAGGCGATACTCTATTGCATCTGGTGGTTTCGCGGCTAAACGTGGTGCGGTCGACGTACTTCACGGACGAGGCGGGCGTCGCGAGCGTGTTTCCGAGTGCCGAGGTGGCTAAACTACTGCTGGCGTGCGGCGCCAATCCCCGTGTTCGCAACGAGGCGCGGTCGACGGCGCTGCACGTGGCGGCCATTCCCTACAACCAGTCTCTACAAGTGGTCGAGACGTTGTTAGCGGGCGGTGCACATCTGGACCAGCCCAACAAGTTCGGCGACTCAGCGGGCGAATTGCTGGCTTTTAGTGGTGGCGCGCAAATACGGCCTCTGGTTCACATGTCCCTGGCTTGTTGGGCAGCTCGCGCTCTGCTTGAGGCCGCACCGCCTCCCCCACACTTGCCCGCCGCTCAAACGTTTTACGCCCAATTGCTGCCGCGCACCCTGCTCGAATTTCTTGATCTTCATCGCCCCTTGCTGCCGCCGTAGTTTATTATTATAAGGATCTTATTATTAATTATTAAAATAATAAATATCGTCGTCTGTAAACATATTCATTATAATGTCTATATGTTGTATATTTGGAAATAATTAAAAGTTAATCTAATTAAAAAATCGTATTTTTGCCGCACTGAGTAAGAATACATAGGTATGTATGAATACCTAAAAAACCTTATTGTCTATTACCAAAGACAATTCAAATAAAATACCAGAAATGTTGGAGTAATAAAATAAATGTTTAAATTGACTATACAGGGATGGCGCCAGTGTTAACTGCAAATCCTTGATATCAGGTAATCCAAGAAAAAATTCAACCTTTCTCAAGTTTTGCTTTAACTCAGTTCGAATCGTTGCAACTTGCAATGTAATTATCGTATAGAGACTGGCTAATGAAAGAAGATAACGAAAAAGCGCGGCAAATTAAAAAAAAATAGTATGGTATTCCTAAAAGTTTGATATAGGTATTTTGTGGATTAAACTTACTTGATACTTGATTTTATTATTATTTACATTGATAGTAACTGTATTTCTATGAAATTAAATACTATACGTATTTAGTCTTTTAGTATTGATACTTAAAATGGCATTGCATGGAAAACTAAAACTATATTTATCATAAAACACAACTTTATTCGGAATAAACAATCCTAAGAAAGAATTGAAATATTATACCAAATAAAACAAAGTTTAGGCTATTATACCTGTTACCTATTCGGAAAAAATATATAATAGCAGTAAAATTCAATGACATTCTGTGTTGCCATCCGAAAGTTTTCAAATAATTCAATTATAGTATTGTCTTTTATTGACATAACTTTCACACATTTGATAATAAAACAATTTTTTACCTGATTGACACCGTGACCACGCACGCTGTAAAGCACGCGAAACGTCGGTTTAATTTAAAATTATGAAAAATAATTGTAAATACATAACTTCAATCCGGTAAAAAAAATGTTTAATTCAATTATCTTCTTTCATTAGACAGACTCTATTGAATTTAGTCCATTGAAATGTTACATTTGCTGTAAAGTAAATTGTTGGAATTGAACAAAAAATTTCGAAAATCTGTTTAAAATAAACGAGAGATCATTAAAGTAAAGTAAAAATGTTGTTTTTTACCGGCTTGTCATGAGCATTGTCATATTATATATTATGGATCCACATAATGAAACCTTTTATAGGTATAGCGGGTGGACAGCATGAAAATTATTCAGAGTTTGTACTGTTTTATTATCAATACCAATACGCTACTTGCTACTAGATATTGTTTTTATTTATTATATTAATTTTACTATACATAATATAGTTAATTAAAGCAAGGAATGTAAAGGTTTATTACGTACCTACTAAGTTCGGTTTACATGCGACAAATAAGCATATTAGATTTAAGTGGTAACCTCTGACCATGGACACCTGCAACTCCTGGAGGCTTGCAGTTGACGTTGCAGGTTAATAGATCTTGCAATTATTAGAAATTTTTAAAATGTTTAGTTGATTATTTATATCTTTAAAACGTAACGAAGAAAAAAATATAGTCTTGAAAATATTTAAATTATTTTTGATGTGCACATTATGAGCGTGGAGGATACAAAGCAAGCAAGGAGTTTCTACTTTGGGAAACATGCGTACAGATACAAAAAATATGTCCGGCTCGAAGGACCAATGTACAGCTTGCTAGTTAGTGGACTGTGAAAAGTGTGTTTAAAATTTATATGTATTCAATGTCAGGAGTATCTGAATAGTATATGTAATGTATGTATGAGCAAGCAGCACTAGATGACTAAATATATGAGAAGGTGAGACGTAAGAACCTAACAACCCTACGGATCCCTAAGCCCTACAAAAGTACCCTAACACATAAATAGTGATATATAAATATATAAATAAGTACGGGATGCCTGCACCAAGAGACCTAAGGTAACAGACGGAGCCCTACGGGTAGGATCAAAGGTTCGAGGTGGTGGGATTATCTCAAAGCTACCGGGCAGGCTCACCACGATAATTAAGGGCTTGAAGTAGTTTTCGCCACTTTGAGAGGAAGCGAGAAATGAACAAGACAAAGCAATATTCAAATCTGATTTATTGTTATAAAACATTTTAAATACTTATTACACCTATTCACACATACATGATATTTTTCTAGTGAGCTGTTGGTGTATCGCGCAACCTCAGCTATTAAAATTTGGAACACATATGAACCGTGTCAGCAGCTGATCAATATTTAAATAAAATATAATTAAAATTGCTATTCAGCTGCTAATATTTAGCACACACCGGATCCATGTCAGCAGTTTGTTGATGTTCAAATGATGAAATCTGAACAAAGGTGTTGTTGTTCAATAAGTGTTATAATAGTTTAATTTAGTAATATAATAAAAATAACGGTTTACTTTCAATATTTATTTCTGGTAATAAGTGGTATAAGTTTAAATTTTTTATAAAAATAATCTCAGTTCTTTCAATACAGAATTTTAATAAACTTGGCAGTGATTGTTACGTATCACAGCTTTGGTCGGGATCTGCATTCAAAGCCCTCATTATAATAGGACTTTCAACGTCAAAATATTCTTTTAAGTCGTCGAAGGTTGATGATATGGTCATTTGTAAAAAATATTTTGCCCAGTCCACTACACCATATGTGTAGCGAGTGCTATAAGTATCGGGGCGACTAGCATCAGTGATAGCGAGACACGAAGCGGAGGAGCGGGCGAACGTGCGATGTTTCTGCGGTGACGGTCCACGACGAAGATACGACCGCCCATGTCGAAATGTGTGAACGAGTGGTAGTACACCATGTCGGGCCACGTCGAGTTCGGTGTCACCTGCAGCTCCGCGGCACGGCCTTCTCCGCATCGCCAGCGCAATGAACGGTTAAAAGCCCGGAACGTTTCAAAGGATGCGTCGCGGCGCGAGTCGGCCGTCGGATCTCTCTCCGCGAGGCACAGCGCACCCGCCGCCAGAGGGCTCAAACGACCGCGTCGCGTTCGACGCGCCCCCGCCAACACGCGCACTTTGTTCTGGGTCGCGTCGCCCAGCCGTTCTAGACCGCCGTGAGATTCGCTCGTCACCACTAGCGGGTGGTACAACGTCGCGGAGTGCGGCTCGTCGCCTCCCCGGACGCGGAACGTGTAAGTCAGGCCACGCCGGAGCTGCAGGTCAGGTGCGAGTTGGCCGTTGACGTACAGCGCGCGTTGCGGTGCCGCGGGAATTCGCGCGGCCAGTCCACGCTCTCCGCCCGCCGGCCCCACGCTAAACGCGAACACACGCAAAGCTGGATCGAATAACTCGGCACGATCCCAGGGACGCGAGGGTGTCGGTCGCGCGATTGAAAAGCGCTGGCACTCCGACTGCGATCGAGACTTTGAATCGTGGGGCAATACGAGCTGATGGTCGATCGCGGGCCTGAGGCGATGGTAGGCGGGCTCACCGAGGTGGTCCAGCGGCCCGACGGCCCACACGACGAAGACGGCGCGGTCAGTTGGCCACTCTTGATCCAGGGTGTCGTCGGCCTTCAGCTGACGGCGGTAGGTAATGACCGTGAGACCATCGGTGCGTTCCGCGAATAGAACTTGCGCAGAGTCCGTACCGCCAAGGACCGTATCGAGACAAACTCCACGCCAGGCGCCCAACACCTGCACGCAAGGCGCCACGGCGCTCACATTGTAGTCCCGCGCGAGGCCACGCTGCAGAGCGCCGTCCCAGCTGCTTACGATCACGTCGGCTCCCAACATCTGTGACCGGGTCGTCGAGCCCGAGATGCCGAACGCCATGTACTCCTTCTCTCCTATCTGCGCATAAATAATATGCACGTTATATTAAGTTAAAAGTAGATGTTAGATCTCTTTTAATCTAAAACATGCTAGGACAATTTTAAATTTTGTTTTCACGAAAGTATCAAACCTTTGTGTTAGATCGTGTCGCAAACTGTTTTGCAAAGTGAAGTGTTATTAACAAAAGAGTTCCTGTCATTTGCAATGGCGTCCTTATCAGTCTGTAGTAAGGTGTACTTCACAATGCATAAATATTTAAACAAAAGTTATAACAGTTGTTATAATAGCAATGGAGCTCACAAACAGTTGTTTAGTGATGATATTGGTTACCTAGACAATTTCATTTAGGCCGATAAGGTTGCCCGAACTGTCACAAACGAAAACGCTAATGCTACAAAAGGTGTACAACATTCACAATCAGGTCAATCAAAATCATCGCGTTCGGCTAAGCCTAATGCGACTGTCTTTAATAATTATAACATTATACTATAACTTATGTTATGACCCCTTTTGTAAGAACCCAATACTATTATTTACTTACCATTCCTGCCAGCTGTATAGAAATCTGGTTACCAAAGATCTCCCAGGAGACCTGTAGATCACGATGCAGCTGCTCACATCGTGGCAGTTGGGTTACAAAAGGATGCAGGGTGGCGGCGGCCGGTGGCACGTTAAGTGAATCGGGCACTAGTACAGTTGCCAGTGCGGTCCCATTCCCCCGATGCCATAGCGCCAGCCAGTCGATGTCCGCCGCCGAGCGCCCACCTGGCAATCGCAACATTACGTCTTCGCCCACATGCGCTCGCAGTGGCTCCAGATATCCCAAGTCATCGGGCAGTGGCACACCCCGTGCTGACGGTTGAGGGCCCACTCCGGTCCACCAGTACACATCTTCACCGCCCGGGTCAAATCGCAGTTCTGGTATTAGCACCGTGCTAGCATCGAGGAAACGGACGGGACCGCTGTTCACCTCTATGGTTCCAAGTTGTGTAAGCGGTGTGAGCGCACGCGGCGCTGGCGACTCAAATTCCTCTGGCACATATACATCACCAAAAGCGTTTTGGGAAGCAAGGTCATATATCGCGAACCAACTCAATCTTGACACGCGTTTGCCGTCCGGTAGACGTAATCTCACCTCTTCATTATTGTACCGCTCCAATATGTTTGTCCTGAAAAATGTATATTCCTGTTAAATAACATAAATCTAAAACTAAATAAATATTCATACACAAATTGACTCTGAATGATTACCAAGTTTTCTTCCATAGTATAGTTATTGTTAAGCCATAATATTGTTTTTAAGAAAATATTTTACAATTGGACTAAACAATACAGCCTGTAGAAGCATATCCTGATTTTGTATGCAAAATGTGCAGTACTCAAAAAGTTTTACAGCTTATATATTCTATTATATGCATGTATTATATAGATCATTCCACAGTTATGTAGTAGTTTGATATCACTAAAGTATACAGCACTTACTTGCCATGTTGATCAGGGACAATAAAACCTAAAGGCCCTGGTCGCCCAGAATCACCGGCCCAAAAGAATGTGTCATCGCCTGTACCATCATAGTTAAAGTCCACCAATAGCAGGGTCCAATCGTCCACAGCATATACATCTCCTGATACCTTAAATAATTAAACCAGGTGAGTACAGACTTATTATTTTATTTTCTCATAATTAAAATTCAGTACATATTTCTCACAGTTGAACATTAATGCTGCCAAATAAAACAACATACTCAAACATCTAGGATTAGATTTGTCTAAATTACAATGTTGTAAAGTTACTATATTTGTACAAAAAAACAGTAAATAGATTTTATATAATCACTATAAAATTTGTTCTCATAAAGTATAGACAAAATTTTCATATCCGAAAGTGATTTTTAATATCTATAAATTGAAATATATTTATGTTTGTTATACTGATAATGTTTGTAAGTAAGTACTTGTGAGAACAACTTTGTCTAAGCTAATTTGATAAGAATAATTTGTCTCCACCGATTATAAGAAAAGTTTTAATCAGAATTAAGAAAACCTTGATGTGATAAAAAGTAAAAGTTATTAATGCAGATAAAATACCTGATGATGATATGAATTCAACTTTCCTATATGCTTTCCTCTATAGGGTCCCTCGTCATCTTGTGACGAACAATCTGTAATTATATTGTAACAATATGATTCACAATGATATGTTCTAAAAGAGAAAGTTGTATAAGAAATAATAAAAGTTGTATCGTCATACCTTTTGCAATAAATGTGAGGAAAATAAACCATATGCTGTACATTCTATGTTCTGACTATTTATTTAAAAATACTTTTCAGAACTTAACATGTTTTTCTATTCAAGTATTATTTACAAAAAGGTCACTTCCGGTTCCTCGCACTAAGCACAACTTGATCTGTCACTCGCAGTAAGTAATAAATAGGTAGGCCTTCGTTTGCTCGAACAACATGGTAAAACTAAGAATTGTTTAGCTCTGATTGGTTGGCAACAAAATCATCTTTAGAAGAACCAATCATAAATCTGCACTTTCACTTTTATTTTTCTTTTTACGTCGATAACAAAGCGAAGGCTATATTTTTCCAGTTGCCAGTTTAGTGAATGCCGCATTCGTTTTTATTTATAGTAGTTCTAAAATGAGTAATAGTAGATTCTATATGATTTACCAGTCCGTACCTTTAATAATAATTGGAGAATCAAATTATGAAACATATTTATTTTAAGTAATTAATCACCTGGTAATTAATTACCAACAATCATATATAAATATTTATTCCTATAATACATTAATATATTCTTATTTTTGACGAATAATTTAATCTTTTAATTGTGTTAAGTGGTTTGCGAATTTGAACGAATTGTGTAAATTATGAGGTCACTAATCAATTAGTTTAATAATCATTATTAAATTACAATTAATAATCTCTCATTTATGAATGTTGGTTGTCAATTATGAGAATATACATATATTGTAGTAGTATTTAAATGACGTTTAGTACGATATCAGGAACCTTAGTGCGATATCAGAATCTATATATATATATAAAAGAAAAATAGTCTTCGTTTGAGGCTCCTTCACGCCTAAACCACTGATCGTATCGACATGAAACTACCACCATTCGATGCGAAATTTTTCCTGGCTGGATGGCTATTTATTCATTAAATTCCAACGTGCCTTCATTTTTTTATTGCTGTTTTACTTTTATGAAAATTTATCCATACGGACTTCACCGCGGAAACATTCGGGGAGGCTTCCTAGAACCTCTAAACGTCAACATCTGTTAAAAACTCGATTTTCGAAATATTTCAATTTTCTTAGCGGGAAGTTAAAAAGAAGAATAATAAAAATATGAAAAAAAATAAAATAATGAAACATAAAATTTATTTTAATTCGTCCAGCAAAGCGGGCGCGAAACGGCTAGTCTTTTAATAGATGTGAAGATTAATTTATTCAGTTGTAACAGAGTAATTCTTTCTTCTCTGAATTGTGAAAGTTATGAGGTCACTAATTAATTAATTAAATAATCAATATTAAATTTATTAATTATGAGAATAAAAACATATTATATTGTTGTCGTATATAAATGACGTTTAGTACGATATCAGGAACCTTAGTACGAAAACAGAATCATTTATTCAGTTGTAACGGTGTAATTCTTCCTAGCGTCATAAAAATTATTGGATTTAGACATTCAGGAGTCACACTTAGCGCCAAATCTGGTTTATCAATATTTTCCTAAACATCCATAGACAAAATATCAAAAGTCACTCTCTTATTTATACTTTGTTCAAAATAATGATTAATTTAACAATTTAAACAACACGAAGTTTGGAATGAGAACTTTGTAAATTATATTAAAATTGTCGGAAGATACCTTATAACGATACGAAATAATATCTTCGTGAAATTTGTTTCAGAGACATCTTCCCTTATTACCTATTGTGTAAAATACTATAACATTCCTTTTGAACTATATATATACTGCTCAAAACAATTAGCGGAACAAGATTTTTCTCCTTTCTATTGCTTAAACTAAAATTAGATTTAAATTAACTTGTACGCTATTTTTTACCTTGTTAATTTGTTAATTACAATTAATAAAAAAATTCAATTTGTATTTTTTTTATTAAAAAAAAATTAAAATGTGCATTGTAGACGAAAAACAAAGTGACGTCTTTGAATTTTCATTACTTTCTAATCACAGAAAACACATTTTAAGTAGTTTTTTCAATCTTTTGAGTATTAATAGAAATTGAAGTGAGCCTTTTGAGTATTGTTATTCATTGAAGCGAGTGAGTTTAGGTCATAATGCCAGATCTGACTGAATTGCATGTCTCCCGAGCTATCGCTTTGCTTGAAGTGGGTCGAACTATGCGTTATGTAGGAAATGATCTAGGAGTAGCCCCTTCTGTTATCTACAGACTTTGGAAGCGATACCGTGAGACGGGAGAATACTCACGAAGGCGTGGTCAAGGTCGAAAGAGAAAAACTACACGTTTGCAAGATCGCTACATCGTCAACTGTGCTTTACGTAACCGCACCACAACTGCAAGAGATCTACAAAATACACTAAGGACGGCTACTGGTGTAGAAATTTCCGACCAGACGGTAAGAAATAGGTTGTTGGAAGCCAATTTGAGATCACGCCGACCAGTTCGGGCTGTGCGTCTAACAATTCAACATAGACAAGCTCGCCGACAGTTCGCGCAAAATCACGCTAATTGGCAACTTCGAAATTGGAGGCCAGTGCTTTTTACTGACGAATCACGATTCCGTCTAACACTATGCGATGGTCGTCTCTGTGTTTACAGACGCCCAGGCGAGCGATACAGTGCAGCAGCAGTCCAGGAATATGACAAATTTGGATGTGGCTCTGTGATGGTTTGGGGCGGAGTTAGTTTGGACGAGCGCACAGATCTCGTCGTTGTTCCCGGGCGCTTGTGTGCTCAAACTTACATTGAAAATGTGCTCGAAGCTCATGTTTGGCCCGCAGCATATGGTATGGGCCCAGATTTTCTTTTAATGCAAGATAATGCCAGGCCGCATACTGCAGCCATCACGTCAGATTACTTACGACAGCAGGAAATCCGTGTAATGGAGTGGCCTTCCATGAGCCCTGACCTAAATCCAATTGAACACATTTGGGACTTGCTTGACAGGCGCATCCGGAAGCGTCCGATTGCACCTCAAACACTGCAGCAGCTCACTGAAGCGTTGATTGAAGAATGGGAGCGAATTCCACAAAAGATATTCGGAGGATCATACGAAGCATGCCGCGTCGTTGTCAAGCCGTGATTAGGGCTCATGGAGGCCACACACGTTACTGAAAGTCACTAAAGACGAATATTCAAACTATATAAGAATATTTCTTTGATGGACCTTTTTTATCACCAATTAGTTTTTCGTCTACAATGCACATTTTAATTTTTTTTAATAAAAAAATACAAATTGAATTTTTTATTAATTGTAGTAATTAACAAATTAACAAGGTAAAAAATAGCGTACAAGTTAATTTAAATATAATTTTAGTTTAAGCAATAGAAAGGAGAAAAATCTTGTTCCGCTAATTGTTTTGAGCAGTATATTTTATTCGTGGTTTTTTTACCTACTAACTAGGGTACGTTAAGTAACGTTGATACGGGAAAAATATATTAATTCGTGGTTGAGATATTTATGAATTATGTTTCAAAACATTTATCAATTTCGTTATTTTTCCTGAAATTAAATGTACAAATTTACTTAATTATTAAAATCGGTTTAGTATTTCGGAGATTAGTGTATACACATATGTATATCGACACAAACGAAAATAAAAGAAGCTTTTAAGTGTTGATTTATTCTATTCTCATCGCCCTTATCCCTTTTTTGGTTACTATTACATTTTTATAGTTAAAGAATAGGATAGAAGATGGGTAAAAAAGAGTATTCTTTTTATATGTATATCTAACATCACAAATATACATGCTGGTGTATCATTTTTGTCTGTATTTTAATTAAATTTACTAAATAAACAACGAATTATAAGAAACTGAAGCTTAGATTCTTTTACATTTGCAACATTGGAATTCAGTCAATAATTCGACATTTATATTTTCGTTTTCATATAGACAATATAATCCGCAAAAATGAATGCTGGTTAAATTCAGAACATTCTCAGTACTACAGACGTATTTATATTGTTATTTAAACAATAAACTAGTTTATTATATAGTATATAGGAAGATCGTGTATTGAGTTGTTAAATTTCAACTTATAACAATTTTTAATATGAGGTACAATCGAGCACAGTCAGGGCTCATATCTAGCTTTCGAAAGAGCGGTCCCACGGTCGGATGATGGCTAATGTCTTACTCAACACGGCAGCTGTTGCCAGTGACTTAGCGCGCGCGCACGCCTTCGGTGCGCTTATTCGTGCAATACAAATAGTGCGCGTAGTGAGACGAGATGCTGGGTTTAGCGGCGTTCACGCTGCTACTGGCCTTTGGTGAGTTTCTTTGCATCTTCTATACAGTTACTGAAGAAATAAGCCGTATGTTTTCTTCTTGAATAAGGCAAAGTAAAATAGAATTACACTAATAAAGAAGTGAATCCGGCATACTTACTTTTTTATAATTAAACAGTAAAACGCAAAGAAATAGAGACGAAAGCTACATTTTTTTTAAAATACAATTTTAGTTATAGATTGAGCCATAATAACAATATATCTTATATGCTCATACAATTTCGCTGTATTTAATTAATTTAAGATGAATTTCCGGATTTAGCGAAGTATTGAGCGATTAAGATAATATTTTCCGCTGTTTTAACTGTAAATATACCGTAGACATGTTGTTCAGCTGCAAATCAATGAGTTCATAAGCGAGAATCATGCGACGCGGCAACTTTCTTGTGCCAGTAAAGTTGTAACCAAAATGTTAGTGACACATTTTTTCCTTTCCTTTGACTCTAAAATATTTTAATTGTTTTTGTTAAAAAAAAAGTGATCTATCAATAGGCACCTCTTCTCTTCGTATATATAAGACATATAACTTTAACAATTATTTATTCCAAGATTAAGATAACATTTTTATATTTATTTCAATTGTTAATATAATTTACTTCCCGCGTTTAACATACGTTGTATAAGTATGCAACTGGTATAACCCATGCAATACAGATGAAGTTTTAAATATTGTTCTATAAAAAAAAAAGTTTTCACTGCTCAAAGGGAATTCAGGAACGCATATTTTACGCCTTAGTTTACACATGATTAACCTGGATTTTAAACGCAATCCTCTCACATCCAATGCCTGTACAGTTACGACGAAAGTTGACCTGTTGCCCTCCAAATTATATATTATATCGTAACCTAATCTCGCAAACTAACTGTCACGACGATACATTCTAAACAATTTGTGCCGATCTCAATGCGTTGTATGTTCTGAATTAATTTTTCGTATACTTAATACATGTTAGATATACATAGAACACAAGACATATGTCCTAGTTTCTTAGCCTAAATAATTTGCAAACACTCCGTTATGTTATACATAATAAGTCTTAATTAATTATAAAAAAATAATTTATTTCGCATGCTATTTTTTATCGAAATATGATATCTTTTTAATATTATTTTCCCATACTAAACTATTTATATTAGTCAAAGAAATAAAAATATATCTTTTAAAGATGGCTTATATATTTGGCTTACTAGTTATGTTATTACAACATTTAAATAGCGTAAATATAAATAATATCTTTTGTTTTCAGTAATAAAAATTGTAAATAATATTGAACTAACAATGACAAGATCTCTCGTCACCTTGAGAAGTACTCGTGAGAAAGTGAAGCTGAATTGTCCCGTTATATTATGTGTTATTGTAATCAAACGCTCTTTAAATGTGGAGAAAACTTTATTTCATCACAATTAAATAATTTTGCAAAACAATAGGATTTTTTGTTACGTCAAGAAAATACTTTTGGATGACTCTAGGACACAGTTCTTTCTACTATAATGGTTCTTCTACAATCAAGTATGTAGATAACCAAGTCTTTTGAAGTCCTACTTATAGATTTGACGAGGTATAAAATTTGTATGAAAAATATTAGTCTCCTCTTAAAAAGACGATTGTGTTACATACTTCTTGCAACTCACACTAGGGAAGAGTTTAACTAACTAAGTTCAGCGAATTTAGTAGTGGAAATGTTTATATTTAAAAAAAAGTATCTCAAATATGTATTTTGTCTGAATAGAGATTGTGATAATAATTTGTGTCGGAATTAGGCTAAATGTCGAGTTATGGTAATCAAATGTGGTTGAATGTATGGTATAAACGATGACCTGCGAGCGTGTCGTATGCACTAAATTATAAAAGGTCAAGGCACGTAAGCTGACAAAATGTTGGTTGAGGAAAGCATCATCTTTTCACAACTTATTTACCAGTCAGCCAATATTTTAAACTTATTGAAACTGTGAGCGATAGTGTAACTACTTATTCCGAAGATTCAATTCATAAACTATTGACGAAAACTTTTGAAGTACATTTATTACAGTTACGAAAATTTGTAGGGAAGCATAAAATAGCTCTAACACAGCAATAATAGAGTTTATGTTGTTATATCTCTGAAATTACTTTATCACGGTCTTTAATCGCTTCTTCTCATGCAAGATACCGTAAGCGGGCGCCGGCGCCAGCATTACTGGTTCTGCTCTTTTTTCGTCTCTCATCTCCAACCAGTTCGCCCTCCACCGCTGCGGCAGCAAGGTAGGGGGCACATTAACGTGATCCAACCAGTAGCCCCCACATTATGGCCTATAATATTATTTAATAGGAATTCATTGAGTGGATTATTGGAGCTTATTTTAGTGCTTAAAATAAGCTCCAATAATCGGTTTGCTAGTAATGTGCAAATATTGTTTGCACAATAAATGTCGTAATAATAATATTGGTTATTTGAGGCTCTTCAGCGATTATTTTTTTCATACTTATTGCAAAGTACATTATACCTTACACAATAAGAATTGCCGTGAGTACTTACTCAGTATCTGACAATTCATACCTACAGATTACGTGTGTGCCAAATACGAGCTTAGAGATATTAAAACGTTAGGTACTGGGCCGTTTTCGTAAAAGTCGACAGGCTATTAACGCGGAAATGCAAGGTATCTTGACAGTTACCTAACTAAAATATGTCTTATTACGTCAGATACTTTGCCTTCTTAAGCAGGATTATACGGTTAAAAACTCCTCAAAATATGGATTATTCTTTGACGTAAACTCGCACTAGACGACCCGAGGGTGAGATTATGTAAACGCTTGTGTTCTGATTACATCTTCACCGCACGACACTTCTTAGCTTTAACGACTGATAACGATCCTTTTCGCTTGTTCCTTTGTGACGCAACGATCTGTCATTGTGTGGATTCAGGAAATTTACGCTGCCTACCTCTTAACTGGAAGGGCGTGTTACAAATGTGTAATATAATTCAAGTAAAGTATACCTGTTCTATTTTATTCACCATCCTAATTCAGGACGTGAAATCGGATAAATTATCAGGCTTTCAAAAGACTGTGTTGACCGTGACGTGAAAGTGAAGTCCCGTATTCCCCAGCGAGGAATGGGGCATTTCCGCAGGTGTTTCACTTATATTTTCTCTTTACCGTGTCTATTAAACAAAAATATAGAACATTTATTCTGCGTAAGTTTCTTGTACATCAAGTAAATATTATTCAAGTTACGAATGCCATGTTTTTTATCAATAAATGTCAAAGATATTTTCAAATTATGTTCGTATTAATTCATTTAAAAAGTGATACTTAACTTATACTCAGGTTAATATCAAGAATAAGGAAATAAGGCGCAATACTTAATAACTAATGTTGCCTAATCTTTCTATATAATTTTGTATGTCCGATCTGTTTCTTACATTCAAACCAGGCTTACGCACTGCTGACATGTAAAGTTATTTTTCAATTATAATTCGTTAATAAAGATAGAGAACAGTGTTTAGCGACGACCAGTGATCCGCATACATTCCTCGCACTCACTCGGCAAGCACAACGGTACTCTGAACGGTGCACGCGCCGATATAACACTTATAATATTATACTAACACATATCTATAAACATGATATAATTTTGAGTAACCGTGGAAAAGTTTCCACAGAAATAATGCCTTCTTGTCGCGGAAATTATTCGGCATTTCGATAATGATTATACTAATTGTCTCGTTCTCTCTCGTAAAAATTCCACTTCTATTTTTGGAAAAATTCTTCATAAAGCGTACCTTTCTCGGTAATGTATATATTGTATTGTATAATGTAATTCAAATTTATTTATTACTAGATGACCCGGCAAACGTTGTTTTGCCATCTATATTATTTCTAGGAAACATTTTTTAGACCTACTGAATATGCATATAAAATTTGATAAAAATCGTTCAAGCCGTTTCGGAGGAGTATGGTAACTAACATTGTGACTCGAGAATTTTATATATAAGATAGTATTTATATATTCTTTTCAGTTCGAGGATACACAGACTGATCTTGTACCTTATCTGATACATTGTATCAAAATCATCATAACATACTCTGAGTATGTATGTATGCATATATATGCGGTCTTATAAATATACTATAATCCTCAAATAATAAAAAGCCGCAAAACATTTTGTAACAAATATTAGGCTTATATGTTTCTAAGATATTGTTTACGGCCATGGCTTCACAAACGACAAACAAACGAATAGCTTAGACGCTCGCTTTTGCTGGGTAGTCGTTTAATGTGTTTTAAATTATCGACAATACAAAGATTTTGCCGAATGTAGAAGACATTACACCTAATGGTTTTTTAATTATACACATTGTATGTCTTAACCGAGATGCTGTATTCTTACACAATATCTATGGTAAACAATAATAATGTTGCAGAAACCATTTATTTTAGATTGACCTCAGCTAACGTCAGGTTTTAAATACATTGCTAAAAAATCAAATGTGGTTTAAAACTGTTATAAAAATGACATAGTACTTATCTTATCCCATTAAAGCGTTCACTTCTTACCCTGTAAAAAAAATGTTACCAGAATACGAGAAAGTCCAATAAATGTAGCTATGAAGCGATAAGTATTGTCCACTCTTGTCTTACAACTCATTACACCGTTTTATACAGCCCTTAGATTTCGCCGCCCTACACTGCTCTAAATAGTGTAACATAGTCCATTGGTATATTTCAGAAATCAGACAGAATGCCTCCGGTATTGTATGGTATTGGGCAATCAGCGTGGGAGTCGATGTATGCAATCATTGTTATTGATGCAATACGCGTCTTGCCATATGTGTTATTGCATGGCTCTCCTCAATGTGTATTTAAGGCTTTTAGACGAATGAAACAATTAAATTTCCAATATGATATCAGCCAGCCAATGATGAAAATTATTGAACGTTAGTAACACTCTTCTACAAAAATGATTACACATTTATGCATTATTGCGATTGCTAGCCTCAAGCTAATTTTTGATAATTTCTTTACGTAAATACAAAATCTTACCTAATGCTTAATTTGAACACATAACTGACAAATCAGAGCAAACTTATGGTATTATGCAGAAACCACAACTTTTACAATTCCTCATTCATACAAACCCAAGAGTAAACTAAAACTTTATATTCTCATTTTAACGTATGTCGTATTGTCTGGGCGAGCCACAGTCGCAAATAGTGAGGGTTGTACGGCATTGTAAGAGTGTAGGGTGAAGTTATCCACGAACAAAGTTCGTCTGACTTCACTCGATTCTACGCCTCCCTCTGACTACATTTATTAGTTCAATATTGAAACCATAGACCATAACTATTATAAAATGTTATTATTTAAGGTAAGTTAAAAAACTACGTAAATGTTAGTTGAAAATATATATTACATTATAAGCGGTTATAAGAATAAACGCCACGCAACCAGCTTTAATGTAAATTAAATTTTGTTTTTAGAAATGTGTAAATTTATTTTATTGTACACAGGGCGATGATATAATTCTATATTTGATATCTTTAAGCAGGTGTTCAAAGTGAAATTTGATATATTGCTCATTAAATAATAACGATGTAACAAATACGCATATATATTATATACCTTCCACACCTGGATCGTTAGGTATATATAATTAATAACAAGGCTAATTATCATCAGGGTACGATTCAAAGACGAGACTTAGCGCTGATTAATACTTCCGTATGTCGAAAACATATTATTAATTAAAACATTTGTCATATTTAAAAATAAATACATTTTTATTTTTTATGTTTCAAATCCATTTATGGCTTTTATAAACAAGACATACATTTGATTAATTTAATTATACATAACATAATATAAGTGTATAATTCAGGTTTTATGTTGGTTTAAGTTAAAAATATGTCTCTCGGTTGCTGAAAACTAGTCGAGTATATAAATAATGTAATAAATTAATGTTTTTATTCGTTTGAAAAGTTTTATTATTACGTCACATTTAGAACCTTTTAACCCTGTTAAGAAACAAAGAGTAGCCAACATTCATTACTCAATCGTCAATGTAGCATTTCATATGTGACGTAACAACACATTTCAATAATAATTGTTTAGTCTATGGCAACATAACAACGTGAAGTGAGCGTTTAGATATAAAATGCACAAATAATGGCATTGACTAAATTGCACATCATTTCACAAGTCATAAAAGCAGGACATCTTAAGTTAGTTGAAGAAGTTATAGGGGTATGAGATGAGGAGAGGGGTAAGGATCGACAAAAACGCATAGAAAGTGAGAGCAAAAGGAAAGCGATGCGCTGGCGTCTGATGAATGTCACGTGGACTCAGTGCGTTTAATGCACCTCATAACTATTAGTACTAAAATAAATGGTAACTAATTTCCATAACATTTTTAAATTGTCTTTGGAATAGTTCACGAAGCATCTAGGAAATATTTAGTTTTTTATTTATAGTTATAATAATACATATATAGTTATAAATTAAATTGTATTAGGGATATGAAAATTTTATTCAATTATGTGTTTTAAAGGCGACTATCACACATTTGTTTATTTTTACCGTAGTAAACCGTGGTCATGCGGTTGCAGTAAAAACTTGTAAACATTTTATATACTGAAATATTTAAAATAAAAGTTTACAATAATGATTTTATATATAAGTTTGGGAGTCTATAATCAATTTTTCCTGCTTAGATCCCAATTTGAAGTTGAATTTCGTGCAGTAATTTGTCAGGCAACATAACGTCACTACGAAATATTCTCACGAAGAAGCCGTATCGATCAATCAGCAAGTAAAAGTGAAAGCCACTGAGATCAAATCAGACAGAACATTGATGAAATTAACTGGCAGGAGATCAATTTCATTGCGATTAAACACACAAAACTTGTTTTGGTTATAATTTTAGAATGATTTGCTATTTTCTATTGTTCTTTATCCTGTCTTATGTTGTACAAAAGAAGAATAGGGGAGTGATAAAGTAAACAAATGTTGAAACATCAGTGAAAAGGAAAAATTCAAAGGAAGGTCGGCAACGCACTCGGGAGCCTTCTGTCAGAGTGAGTGTCTTGGGTGGCAGTATCACTTACCATCAGGTGAGCCTATTGCCCGTTATCCCGTTGGTTTGTAAAAAAGGGAAAGACACCTAGTGTCGCATTTCTATGACTGTAATAAACACATTGTTGAGAAATCAAAGTCATTATCGTTCTGTTTTTTTGTTTTATCTTTTACCTCCAAAGATCTGTGGTTTGAAAGCCCACACATACTGCACGTATGATGGTTTATTTCTGGTCGTAGTAACTATCAATTCTTACTCGAGTTACAGATTATAAGCACTGTACCATAAATTATATTTTAAATTTGAGTCTATTAAATGTATTAACCTCATAAGTGGGTTAGTCTTATTATCTTTCTATGCCATTTTTTAAGTATATAGCAAGATTAATAAATTCAAGAGAGCGACAGTAATGTAAATTTAGTTTCCAATCACGCGACACATACTGTTCTATACATAATCGATAAAACAATGTTCAAATAGTTATTTTACTGCGATAGTTGAAATTATTTGTGAGAAAGACTTTTACGCTATAAACCTGAGCCTAAGAAGGCGCAAACTGAACGTAATTTCAATGCCTGCCAATGAGCCATGAAGAGCTGGTACAAAAGTCAAAGGTTCCTCAGTATTATAGGAAATTGCGAGGTGAGCTTTACCTTTACCTATTCGTATATTAAAGTATTGTGTACTATTTTTGTACAACAATAATTTATATTTATTCAACGTCTTATTAATTTATCTTCTAAATGTGAATGAATTAAGCGATATTAAGACGATAATCTTTATATATATAAATCTTCTATGCGTGTTTATGTCTTAATGGCTGGGCTTATTTTGATGAAAATTTTAGTGGATTTGAGTATACGTTTAGTTTAGATTTACAATTAGTATTTTTTTTTGGATTTTACACATAAGTACAGGATAAGCTTTGTTGAATTCGCAAAATAAATGTCTTTAATGTATTCAAGTTCTATATAATTAGCTTTGAACAATCATTTGCAAGAGAAATTTTTAAATGCCATGTTCCCTACTGTGTCGAATTGCGCAGCTTTCGTTTACATCATTGCAATAATAGTTAAGAGCCATTCGGCACAGAGATGGAAGGTTAATGACGTGATTAAGTTAATTATGTTCATATCTGTAGCATCTTGACGCAGCACCCTTGAATAAGATAAATTAGGAAATCGTGTTATAATACAGAGGTAATTTTAGGGTCGACCGGAAATAACATTTTTTTAATTAGAAATTGTAATTCTTTTGTTAAAATTGTAAAATATAATAGTGCTGCGGTTATGACAAATTATTTTCATTATTTATTCGGCTGCCGAGTAATATATTAAATCAATGTAAATTGTTGTATGTGGATGATATATTTATTAACTTATGGAAAGTTTGAGTTGCTTTAATAATAACATAGTTTTTTGAGTACTTTATAGATTTTTTTACAGTTAGACATTATTTATATTTAATGTAAACTTTTTCATAGAATATATTTTGCATACAAAGATCATTTACAAAAAAAGAAAAGCTGTCAATTTATTATTTGTATAGAAAATATTTAATACTATTCAAGAATTATAACTTGAGATACGAGTTGTAATAAGATTCAGTGTTGTGTGATTGATTTGTGTGAGTGATTTCTCTCAAACTGCGTTTGAACAGCCTGTAAAAGAAGAAATATTTCAAATCATATCTTATCCCATATTGCACATTGTCAATGTCAAAATTAAATAAAACAAGATTCGACGTGCGACGACGAAGACGTTCTAGAATATGAACCTTGATATCATACATCCTTGTGAGCTTTCGCGTTTATAATACCACGATGAAGTTTCACTATAACAGAAACACGATAAACAACTAACATTAAAACAAACCAGGGCACAGCGTTGTGTATTCAGTTCACGGGCAGACCCCGTTGAATATAATCACGCTGTCAGCTGTACCTGCCCACCTTCATGGCTTTATTGGTCACGCACTTGTTTATTTTATATTTAGAAATCCTAAGTTCGATGTAGTAGATAACAATTATAAGTTTTAAATTAAATTTAAGTAAGTATACTGTTGTGTTAACTAATGTGTATTCGTTAACATAGAAGAGTTCGAGTCTATTGTAGGACTATTCTACCTCTGATAAATTCTATACATTAATGCTACTTTATTCTACGTAAAATGGTTAATTTTTGAAGTTATACTTTTGGCGCGTTTGGGAAATATGATGAGAGTATTTTTTTACAATGCGTGCGTTTAAAACACCGTCACAAAAAACTACTTCTTTTGGTGCGTTATGGAAAAATTATGAGAGTAAATTTTTTCTATTGTTAGTGTCGTTTTTTCTACAAACGTAGAATAAGGCGAAAGATAAAATTAAAAAAAAAAAAAAACCTTGTTACGCTAAACAAGTATAACTTCTAACGCGTGTACATACACGTTTTTCTGAATATTTAACCAAAAAAACACAGCTAGTAATTTCATAAAAGTAATTGTTGAGGTCTGTTTTTATTTGTATGATAAATCTTGCTTAAAATTACCGGTTCTGTAGTGGTTGTATGAAATGGTTTATTGTCAGCCGTTTGAAAGGTTGACCTTGATTTACCGATACTGTGTACAACAAACGCTTCTATAACTAATGCATTAGGTCTAAATACCATTGAGTGTCTTTTTCTCGGCAGATCACTTTCTTAAAAGTACTTTCTTGCTATCGTAAGTAGACAACATTGTTGTGTTACTTGTCAGGTCAAAGATGTTAACTTTTTTGCGTGAATAGATATACTGAATATAGCTTTTTGGTAGACGAATCTATCACATTGCCTACTACATACTATTCATTTTAAACTGATATTAGAAATAGTTTAAGAAAAAAGAATCAGTATAGTTTTATACATTATAGATTTATTTATACGGGAACGCGTTGATGTCTTTATCAAAAGCGTACACGATGCAATCAACGTAGATCAAATGTGCGACGTAGACAAAAAATAATTCTTTTGATAATAAATTTAGACTAAAAATTAATAAAGAGATTGTAAAACGCGTACAGATATTAAACAAACACAACGACAAACCAGTGGCGCTAGGTCTCATAATCATTTGTCAATCTCATAGGCAAGTAGTTCAGCCTGCGCCTGACATACGCCGTCAACTTTTTTGGTCTAAGGCAAGCCCGGTTTTCTCACGACGTTTTCCTTCACCGTTCGAGCGAATGTTAAATGCGCACATAGACAGAAAGTCCATTGTTGCACAGCCGGGGATCGAACCTATGACCTCAGAGATGAGAGTCGCACACTGAAGCCACTAGGCTAACTGCCGCAACTGCTCTCAACGACATAATCCATTTAATAATGTATTTAATTGTAATTTAAAATAACGACGCGACATAGAAGCTAATTTAAAAAAATTAAATACTCCATAACAATTCGCACGGTAATTTAAATATTGAAAGTGTCTGTTTTAATAAAAGTTATTAAAGCAAATTGCAAGGGTTTGTTGACGGAAGTGAGAGTGTTCCTGTATACTTTCTCTCCAACCGTTCTTTGCACATTCCTTTCTGCTGCTAATGGATTACACGTTATTCTTTTATGGGAAGTAGAACCTGACCAACTGGTTTATTGACGTTCACATACACTTTTAGTATATTGAACTTTTTTGCCCCTAATTCTGACACGAAACTTCAAAATGAACTTATTCGATAGTTGTGGAAACTATAACAAATTAATTCATAAATTTTCATTATATTCTAAATATCTATTAAATAAGTTTTTTGTGTTATAGTTTTATTTAGGTGTGAATGATAATTAAAATTATTGAAATAAATTTATGCTTAGCAAGGAGGTGCGTAGGCTTCGGTCACAAAGTATAGTAAAGAGAGAATCGTTGTTTTGTGTAACAAAAGAGTTTCCTCAAATAATAATTTAAAAACGAAAGTATTGCAATATTTTATTAGTGTTCATAAAACACTACAAAAATTTTGATATCTTGCAGTCAATCTTTACAGCATTCTTTTTTGTTTTCAGGACTGGGCGAGTGCCTCCATTATGGATCAGAAGTCGGTGCTCTATCTGAGCTTCAACACGGTGTGCGCGGGAGACTATACGCTGTAGACTCACGTACACTTTACCTCAAGGACTTCAACTATGACGGTGTTGGACCAGGTCAGTACGCACTACCTATATATTCACGCTACTTAAATATTAAACGCAATACTTACATCGGGTTTCGTGCCCCCATACATATGTGTAATTCCTATAACATTCAATTTTTCAAATATGATATATTTTCGTGCTCGCCTATTCCTTTCAAGCACCTTTTAAAATACATTTTCGTGCCTATCATTGTTTCTTTTTTATTTTTAGTTGTGTACTCATACTTTTATAAACATCTTAACTGTGAACAATTTAAGGACACTTCTGTGTCTGTCAATGACACTTAAATCAATGCATCAATAACTTATACATTTCAGTAGATTATTTTTTCATATTTCTTTGTAGACATTGAATTGGCAGTTATTACAATTAGTCGCTGTCATGTTTTTGTATGCCTTATTCATTGAAGTCAAATTACATACATATATACGTACATAGTTTTTAATATGCACACGGAACTATTTAAAAATTAGACAAACATTAAGTTGAATTCCATGTATTTGCTGAGATATATTACTTACTTATAAAAAGAGCTTTGTATATTATATATTACAGTTTGAATTTGTACGACTGTATAATTTTCCGTGTTCGGGTTAAATTGCATTTACACTTTAGAACCAGTTTATCCGATTGCATAAACGAGAATTACCTTGATAAAGAAATGAGTTATGGATGCATAATATTTAAGAAATATTTATTTTTAAATTTAATGGGTTTTAACAGATTTGAATAATATTGCTAACGTTATAAATTAATTCGATTTGTATAAGATTTCTTATATGTACTATTTTTGAACATAATTAATTTAAGAAAAAACCTTAAACAAAAGAATTCAGATAAAAAGGATTTCTTATGTTTGAAGTTCAATGGCTGGCAAAGATAATAAACCGTTATATGCCTTCCAACTCGAAACTATAATTGTTCTTCTGGGACTTGCATCTCACTCTTGAGAAGTACAGTGTCCTCTATTTGCATAAAAGTTACGGTGAACGCTCTAAATCTCCGTAACTAATAATTACAATACATTTCCAAAACGTATCACACATCTAGTAAACACTGTAGACCAAAATGTCAAACCTTTGAGATTAATACTCACAAACCCTATGCGGTATTCCTTATTGTAACATCTCTCTGTATCTATGTATAGGGTAGCGTTAGTAGTCTGTGTGAATAACGAGCTCATTAATGTCTCGCGATGAGTTTTACAAACACAGGGTTTAAGTTTCAGCAGTAATGATAATAATAATGTGAGATAATGATTACCTCAGTAACAGGTAACAAATAATTCTCAATTTGTTATCTACTTGTTAAACAAATAAACGAATGGATACTGAAGTAAAGATACAGTTGAAAAGTTGTTAAGATTTATTCTTTTCCTACAAATTTAAAACGTCTTCAACAGTGGCTTGAATGACTAGACGTTCGCGCTTAATTCAAAAAGTACTACACCAATTTTCACCTATACCAATAGATAGAGTGATTCACGAGAAATATTTAGGTATTTGTAAAGCTTTTCTGTTCATTATTTGTAGTATAACAATAATTGTTGGAAGCCAATCCACTATTGATATTTTACGAAAGTAAATTTTCAAGATGTCATTTGTAGTATAAAGCCGGGGCAGATTGCTAGTTTTTTAAATACGACGTTAGTAGAGAGCGGACTCAAATCTCTCGGTCTAATGCAATCTCGTCAAATAAATTACGTAAGCCGCGTACCTTTGGGGTAAGAATATTAAATGCTTGAAGTAAAAATTAATAAAGAATTTATATCATTAACTTAAGTTTCTATAATTTATTTGCTCTTCAGTTTCTACTTTCATTTATTAATTTCTTAAGGTCCTGGACTCAGGTATAGGATCTCTTTAAATTTCAATATCGCATATAGTGAATGGTCATCGGTGCACAGCAGTCATAGATACAATTGCGAAGCTGCTTTTATTTGCTGTATTCCTATAAAGATATACTCGTACTGGCTTAATTTTTATTTTAAGTCTGCTCCGTTATATTTCACTGCATGATATTGTAGCGCTCCCGTTTGAGATTTCCCAAGAGCTGTGCTGCCAAAGGCCCTCGATACGGGCTCACTTTGTACTCGCTTTATTGAGCTAGATGTTTCCTATATACTTACATTTAATGTTACTACACCAAAATTACTCAGCTTATCATTTAACTTAACTAAATAAAAGTCTTATAATAAACTTTACAATAGTTGAATTGACATTTAGTCATAACTTAGATGAAGTGTAAGTTTTTAAAAAATATAGGATTCGTAGCAGCGAAAATTGATTAAAATACAACGTAGTATGTATAGACAAAACAAATTTGTATTAATAAAGCCCATACTAAAATGAACTGAAAACAAAGCATAATCTTATTGAACAGTTAAATAAAAGCTCGTAAAGCTCGATTTACTCACGTAAAATAATTATCTATCAATTATCTTTGAAAACACATAATTTGCAAGCTTCAGTCTTATGGAAGATTACCTTTAATTAAACAAACGTGTTCGTGAACACTAACAACTAGGTCTTTACATACATAAGACATTGTATGAACTGATTGAATTCACAGCTCTCGAGTGGAATTTAATTTCGTTTTCAAAGAATGCCTTTCGCGCGCTTTTACCGGCTTTGTGATACAAGAAAATAAACTCATGTTTTTGTAAAAAAATATATTTGCATGATCATTTAGTGCTTTTAGCTTAGCATATAATACCGTTACTATTCATTACGACATCATATATTATTATTATAACAATAAATTATTTACTTTGGAATCGCAAGATTAATAAAAGAAAGACTATTCAATTAGCTAATTGTGAAAATCCTAAATCCATTAAATCCTTAAGGTAGTTGTTTTAAAATAACAATTTAAAAATGAACACAAAAACATTGTTTTCTGTAGTGCCTTCTTAATTTTATGAAATGTATTTTCAATGTTGCAACACAAAAAAATACTTTTTCTTATATCGTACGCCCATTTGACCGTAAAATGGTTACACTTTCACAGTAATTAAATTTTTGATTAAACCGATTAGAAACTCTTCAAATTATTTACTATTATGGTTTAACGATGCAATCATTTCCGTGGTATTCATAGTAATTTATTTTAATTATATACTTCTAAACTCTCGGTTTTAATCTGAGAAAATATATTTCTGGGAACCATTAGAAACTATAAAAAGTCATTTCAAATATCTCTGATTATATATCGTAAATTGACTCATATAATTAAGAAAAGAACAGAGCATGTTCAGCTCAGCTACGAATGTTAATACCCAATTAGTTAAAGACTGATTCAAGGAAGCATATGATATGGCGAAGTTACAGTTTCTGATTGTAATTTGCTAATTAACCCGAGTCGTTTTTCCATGAATGACTTATAGAAATTACGTCACAGGAGAAGCCAGGGGCGAGGGGGTTGGTAGAATGATTTGACCTTTACAGTGAGTAGCTCTTGTACTAATTGGAGCAACGACATTTTGTTAAATATAATGTAAAAATATATTTACATTTTTCGTATAGGTTAAGTTGTAATTGCGCAATGTTGAAATATTTCATTTTGAAACCAATTCAATAATATTATAGCAGCACAACCGTAAATATTTGTCATTTAAAATAAAAGGAAAGTACAGGTTTCACCGATTACGAGTTTCATTATAAAAATGCTTAACTTTAAATTAAAATAATCTCTTTTGTAGCCTGGTCACGGGGTTGGCTGGTCATTGCAGTGACAGCTAAACATGGTGTTGCTAGGTTCTGCCCAGATAATATCTAATATATAAAATTCTCGTGTCACAGTTTTCGTTGCCATACTCCTCCAAAACGGCTCTCATGAAATTTTGTGTGCATATTGGGTATGTCTGGGGATTGGGATTCTCAGACATACCCAATATGCACACAAAATTTAATGAGAATCGGACAACATCTATTTTTAATCCCCCTAAATGTTAAGGGTACCCCTAAATATTTTTTTTTATTTTTAGATATTTTTTTCTGTTTTTATTTTTATGATACAGCATTAAAAAATACATACAAACCCCTAACTTTTACCCCTCTACGATCAACCCCTATTTTTTTATTATAAATGATATATATGGCAAAACGACGTTTGCCCGGTCAGCTAGTTACATTTATAACATTGTCTATTTGTGATAAATACCTTATAAAAATGAAAAATTATATTTGTAAGCAGGTAATGAAAAATTTAAAGAGCGGAATTTTGAACAGTTAACAATGCGAGCAAATTAAAAAAGTTTTTGAGCGAAGAATTTTTCAAATGATTTAACTTCGTGCGATTACAAGTTCTCTGTGTTTATGTACACAGAATGAAGAAGTAGAACATACAAACAAACAGAAGAAGAAAGATTTCTAGTTATATTAAATATAACACATAATTTGAAAGAAATTTTCCTCTAGTTGCTTTAATTAACGTAATGTTATCTGTGGCCAATTTATTTTCTTTTCATTTTTCTTTTGATTGTACGTGTAATAGTGATTTATAATATTTATCCTACACGTTCACTATTTAATTAAAGGCCATAAGAGATACATTTAAATATAAAATATAATAAATCACTGGCGCTACAACCTCTTTAGGTCTTGGCCTCAGATTTCTGAGTCTGTTTCATGATCATTTTTAAATCTAATAGGCAAGTAGGTGATCGGCCTCTAGTGCCTGACACACGCCGTCGACTTTTGGGTCTAAGACATGTCGGTTTCCTTCACCGTTCGAGCCAATGTTAAATGCGCACATAGAAAGAAAGTCTATTGGTGCACAGCCTGTGATCGAACCTACGACCTCAGGTTTGAGAGTCGCACGCTGAAGCCACTAGGCCAACACTGCTTTCTCATTTAAATATATGTTGGATTAAATATGCCTTCTAATAAGTTTTACATAAAAACGACATCGAAATTATATAGTAATAAAAAATATACACACTTTCAGCAAATCATTTAAGTATAAGATTCGCTTTCATGACAGTACTCGGAGAATGGATTTTAATGAGTGGAGTAATATGATTACTTGATTGCTCGAAGTGCTCGAATAAAAGAGTTCACAATGAAACGTCGTTCAGATTCGATTTATTTACCGTTTCTCTTGATTCCTCTCCGCCTCGGGAGGTACCTCTTTGATTCTCAAGTGGTTATAAACTTGAGGGCCACATAAAAAGGTTAGGAAAAATCCAATAGCCTCTTGGCCGCCTTGCCGATGTCCGCGTAAACGTATTTTAGCATTATTTTTCATTCTTCGGCGACTAAGTGCTAGCCTGTAGGTACTTCAAATATTAGCAGCGTATACAGGAGATATTAGTGATTATAAGGGTGAATTGATTCCTACCAAAATGTTACATCGCTCATTGATATATTTTGTATATTTGGTAATAAATATTTTATTTGTTGACTAAAAAATAATTAACAATATGGCCTTCGTTGAATTAAACTGACACCGCTTAGTTACAGTTTTCAAATTACAAAAACTGATTTCTTTTGTTTAAATCGTAAATTGTATGAAATGTAATAATTTTATTTTGAAGGCCTGTATTTACACAGTTTTGGTAGAAAATCTATGTGTTTATATTAATATATAATAGTAGCCACAAGGCCCTTCCTATTTGTCTTTTTCTGTGACAAAAATCTTAATTCCAAGACACAATAGTTTCATATTAACACTAATTTATTATATTGTGCACTTCGCACATTAATATAACGGAGTTAAGTGTTCAGTGCTACGTTGTCATGACAGGTAAAAATTTAGAAAATCTTTGCGATTATTTCCTTTTTTATTGAAATAGCTTATTTTCTGGCAAACGGGATTCGAAAGTCAAAAGTTAAATTTAAAACAAAGTTCTCTATGATCCAGGGGTTGTGCGAGGAATTTAAAGTTTCCGGAGATGGCAGTGAGGCGAAACGTGAAGTGTCAGCTCGGAGCTGGCAAACTAATCTATCCACTTTACATCTCACAGAATAGAAACTGTTCCGCTGAATTTGCCTTTAAAATTCCCTCTCCATGAGGCGAATTGAAATGACGTCACGTCAGAGCCTTTGGGATATAGGGGTTTGGTCGAGAAATGCGTGAAACAATCGGGCCGCTGATAAAACGTTTATTTGTATAAAATACAGTTTGTATGGGAACAATACCGGTTGATTTTAAACAATCCTATTCAATAAACACGACAGTATATGTTGATTTAACAAAGATATCTTTTATCTTTAACAATAACATTGCGGTAACTGCGTGAATGCTTTGAGTGATGGATTCCGAGTTTTAATATATATATTTATGATGTATTCGCATATGGTTTTGTGTTTTGTTTCGCGTATATGTTTTACTTTTTGAATGCATGAGTACTGAACGATGTTTTGGGGCGATGCCGCGCATATGTGTGTACAAACAATATGAACTTTATTGTTATTAATATAAAATATGTACGATGTACGCGTGTATCATAAAATAATATAGTATAAATTTTAGTTTAAACTATATTTTTTATAGTTTAAAAAACCAGTCGTCCATTCAAATATCAAATCATAGTAGCTTAGTTTTTAAAAATATGAATCTAATATTAGCGCGAATAAGTCACGTACTAAGGTGAGGAAGCTAAAATTACTATGAAGCATTAGGTATTCACGAACCAACCAGACTGACACATACATACTAATGTAAAATAGTGATTTTTCTATTCTTATGAGTGTATTTTTACAGCGGCGTATTTCTATGTTGGGACAAGCAAGACGCCAAGCGCACGAGGCGCTGTGAGACTACGCGACGAGCGTGGTGGGGCTGGTCCTCTACGAAAGTACCGAGGAGAGAGTATTACTTTATCATTGCCGGATGGTTCCACCCTTAAGGACTACGCCTGGTTTTCAGTATGGTGCGATGACTATTCCGTGAGTAGAAAAGTTTTTTGTATTCTTTGGAATCTTGTTTTATTATTATACTGGCATTAGAAAACCCCAGAGGCGGTAGTACTTTTTAGGTCTTTTTAGGTATCTGTTTCTTGATTTCTTTTTTTTTTCTAATATACAATAGGTAATCAACCTACTGTGCCTGACACATGACGTCGACTTCTTGGGTCTAAGGAAATCGGCAATTCCCACGATCCTTACCGTACGGGCAAGTGTTAAATGCGTACTTTCCCTTTCTGGTGGTGTTATACCTACAACCGAACCTAGGAACTCTGGCAAGACGCAGTAGGCTGCTTTTAAAGATCTTACCTCACTTTACTTTTAATCCAAATAGAATCCTAGACGTAAATACAAAAACTCCTTGTCTAGTAAATGCCATGATAAAACTAGCTAGCTGTCTATGGAATTGTAAATGCACTATGAATGCATACGGTAGTCTCAGGAGAAACGTAAATTTGCTAAGATAAATAGACGAAACTATCGTGGAGTTGGACAAGATGCAGTTTATGTAAACGCTTACTTAATTAACAATAGCCCGCTGTGTTTGTAGTACTATAAACTTGCACCGACAAACAAGCGACGTATAGATAGCGCCGTGTCTGCGAAACTTGACATTACAAAATTTTAAGAAAGGAATACCTTCTATATTCTTTTTTTTTTACAAAATATTCTTTATATTTTTTTTCTTTTCTGCTGTTTTATCCATATTTGAAACCATATTTCAATTAAAATTTTACAATGGGTCAATATCACCTCCTAGTAATAAGCCTAATACAATACATGCACATAGTGAGTAAATAATATTTTTTTTTGGTAACAGGTGAACTTTGGTTCGGTGGAGATACCCAAGAGTTTGGAGTACCCCAAGCCAGCGAAGGTTGGGGCACTACGCGGAGTACATGGGGTGGCATCGGACCCCATAGTTGTGGTGGATGCGCAGACCCTACTCATTCCTAATTTCTCTTATGATGGCGAGGCGCCTGGTAAGTCGAGTTTTTAACTTAAATTTGTTTATCGAATTAAATATCATCTTACGGAGCTCATAGCTGAAATGGTTTGCAAGCGATGCATTCAAAATCAAAATCGTTACAAGTCAGGGATGCTTATGTCAACAACGTTTAAAATACGAGATACGCCATCCGTGTTTATCAATTGTACCAATGAAAATGTCATAAACCACAACGTATTAAATTTCATAAGTAAAAAAATAAAAATCTGTGATTTAACCCAATACAAAAAAAAAAAAAAAAAAAAAAAAAAAAAAAAAAAAAAAAAAAAATTAAATTTTTAGAATTTAATTAGAACTATTGCAAGCGTTTTTATCTTCCAGGTAGTTGGTTTTTTGAATTTTTTACTACGACCTATTGATTCGTTAACATATGTCGTATAATTTAAAGTAGTTGGAAATCTCACAACTACGACCTTAACTTAAGTTCGAAACATGTCAATGTTTTCTAAGGTACATAGCGTAACTAAACAGTACAAGCATTTGTAGACGTGTGCTACGTGGCTACGTTACTAGTGAGCTACGGACTTGTTCCGGAAGCAATCACAGGAGTGACGTCGACTGAGAGAGCTGCCGCACTGAATTTATATTATTACTGTGATCATTTAAAGACGCCTAATTTTAATATGGTTACTGTTTTATAATAAATATAAAGAGAGGAAAGAACTTTGTTAAAATTTTGTGTGATTGTAATCATCTAAATGTAATTACACAAAGTAATATGTGTGTACATTAACGAAGAACTTACTATTTAGTAGCTGCTACAAAAATAAATGCCGATCCTAATATAGGTTTTGCGATACCACAAGCATAAAGCACTAAAATAAAAGATTTTGTTTCTGCAGACTATACGTGTTGGTATGTTCATCACAACTAGCTATTAAGCGAGTCCCAGTTCCTTTATCCCTTCAACAATAAAAAATAAATTGGATTTAAAAGGTGTAAAGGAATGTTGGCGGGAACAAAGACTAGGGATATAGAGGCGATAAAAACGAATGTATTTTCATTAGATGACCTCGTTGTGTAATACAAATCTATCAAAAGTCAAAGTAATGTTGTTTGTTTGTTTTGTACATACTGCTGTCACATTTTGTTCTAAACGATTATACAACACCAAATGTATAAATAAAATTATATGCCTCGTAACTAATAGTTGAACATAGGATATACATATTTATATTTTTATATGACGTTTCGAGTGCTTTTCAGCTATGGTAGTCAATATTTTACGTTTTTACCCGTTAAAGAACAAATTAATTAAGTGCAAATAAAGGTCCAAGTAGAAAGGTTCTTGAAGATATAAATATCAAATGCCTTTTGAGGCAACATAGTTTGTAATGAAAAAAGTAACGTTATAATAACACCGTTCAATTGTTATTTTTTTTTTAACATCCATATTTATGACTACTTACATTATAGATGCTAAGAGTTACTACAAACGAAAGGATATAATTTAGATATTTTCCTGCTCAGCGTGCGACTCGCATCCCTGAGGTCGTAGGTTCGAACCTCGGCTGTGCACCAATGGACTTTCTGTCTATGTGCGCATTTAACACTCGCGGGTACGGTTAAGGGAGACATCGTGAGGAAACCGGCATACCAGACTCAAAACAGTCGATGGTGTGTGTCTTTCACAGAAGGCTGATCTACTTGCCTATTAGAAAGAAATAAATAAACACGATACAGAAATCTGAGACCCAGAGTTTAAAAGGTTGTAGCACCACTGGTTTTTATTCTGTGTATAATTGTTAATTATACTAAATGTATTATTAACACTTCCATAAATGTTATCGCACATAACGTATATTGTCAATAATAATTATTGTAATATGATAATGTTGAGTAAATAACAATTAATTATAAATCTGAATTAGCATACAGATGTTGTAAATAAATAAACACGTCGTGTTACGTAAATGTCAATAAAGGGTGCCGTATGTGCATTTGACAGTAACGTATACAAGAGAATGAAGAGCATTATTACGAAATCACTGACGCTAAAAATTATCCTTTAATTAAAATAATTATATAAGTTGTAAATAAAAGTTATTAAATATCACTTATTATAAAATTGGTATAGTTGACAGTTCTTTTTCTTGAACAAATTTTTGGAAGCGGTAATCTCCGTTCATAACTGACGATTTGCTGAATAGTCGATTTCTATAGAATTAATTACTTACTCAATATTTTTAAACAAATTACCTCAATAAAAAAATCAGGAGACTTAGTTAACTACATATATGTTTCTATCGATTTCGTGATTGCAAAATGAAAGTTTTTCCTAAAAGAGTCTGAGAGATCTGTGCTATAGGTAGAATAGGTATTTAAAAAAAACAAAATATTTTTTTCATATAGGTAAAAAAAATGGACACTTATGAACGTCAAAAAACAAATATATATGAAATGCTTCTAATTTTACATTTAATGCCAGTTCTCAAATCAAGGGCGTACAACGGAAGAGAAGAACTGGCAATAAACTCTCTCCACCACTCTTTTTAAGCGCCAAGTTTTTTGTTTTACACAATGTTTGTATGGAGCTGCAACCATTACACCATGTTCCACATGACATCTTAAGTAATTAATAATAATAAAATAAATGAGTGGATCATACTTTTCAATGCCCACTAACTTTCGCACCAGACAAATGGCACCAATTTGGTAATGGTCATATTATAGATGCTTTTATGAATGTATATAAAATAAACAAATATTAGTTTGTCTCAATAGAAACGAACGCAATGATCTTAAATCCCCGATCAAACCGGATAGAGCAAATTATCATTTGATACACGAATCGATGCAATAAAAGGAATCCTATGTGTGACCGGGTAATGTACATTATCCGGATATCGGGGTGTACCCTGATAGGGGGCAGGGGGAGAGGTCTTATCGCGGCTTCATATTGAATTTCATCCCGTCCTGATGTTGGGATTGAAACAATTCCGATATCAATGCTATTCATTTCAATGATCTATAATGAATATGGCTGTGCATTAAATGATAACGTTATTCGTAAAGCTTCCAAAGTAAAAGTGTATATATGTTATATGTTAAGTGTAAACGTAGCACAAACAGGAATGAAATAAGTAAATATACCTTTATTAGGGATGAAAATGGTCTAAAGTTTGTTTCGATATTGATATTATTAATAAATTGCCTACAGATGCAAAGTTCTGGGTAGGACGTGGCGACAAGCCATCTCCGGAGGGGATCCGAATCCCAGACGAAAATGGGAAAGAGACGCCACTTCGAAAATATGACAAGAAGACCATTGTGTTAACATTACCAGGGGTATGTGCCATATTTACTTTACTATATCTATTAATTAAAAATATGTTTTAAACGTTATTCATATGAAGTTGGAATTGAGGTGGTTTTGTTAAACATGTTAACCCGTTTGAATATCCATATATGTGGTGGAGAGAAAATATGTTTTATTTAGAGTCAACGATGCTGGGATGATCGCGTAACGCTTTGTTTTAATATTATAACAAAACCACTGTATGTTCATCAGTCTTAAATAAATGTGCGTGACTATTTAGATTTTTTATTTCGGCAGGAGCTGACTGTATTTGACATAGGACACTTTGCAATCTGGTGCGAGGCTTTTACTGTCAACTTTGCCCACGTGACCTTGCCGCGTGCCGTCCTTTCCAACGTCCCGCCTAGCCTGAAGATGCTGGGCGTATCACCACAGGTTTGTACAACATCATCTTACTAACTAAAATATCACAATACAAAAACGTCCAAAATACCCATGAAATTACACAAACAAATACGTAAAATTATTAGACGACTCATTGGTCGGACGATTGGTAGGACTGACTGCGAATCCATGGGTCCCGGGTTCGATCCCCGGCTGAGACGAACATTGATGTGATGAGCATTAGGTGTTGTGCTTAGGTCTTGGGTGTTTAAATATGTATTTATACGTCTATCTATCTATAATATGTATGTATATCCGTTGCCTAGTACCCATAACACAAGCTTCACCAGCTTAGCATGGGACTAGGTCAATTGGTGTGAATGGTCTTTAAAAAAAAAAAAAAAATGAAATACACAATTATGAAGCGGCCTGTCTAAAGCAAACAGACAACACTGATAATAAACCAACAGTTGGATTAGAACAAGACTATTTAATTTATTAATTACAAGTAATGTATTAAAAAGTGTAGATAATAGGAACTGATTGTACTGAAAATCTCAAAGGCATTTAAAATTTGCGTAAACCGCGCAGTGTTACTGAAAAATATTTGATTAAAAACCCTAAGAATATATTTGTACAGTCGATACTAAGCTTTTTCATGTCGTACAGGCTAACATAACTAATAATTAATAAACAGAAGTGGGCCAAGGGTAAATACATACATTACGTCTCGGCAATCGAACACGATAGATTAATTCGCCACAAACAATACTATATTGGCAAATGAATGCATTGCAAGCTTCGACGCGGTTGCTTTTATAGAGCGCCATTTATTATTTACACTCGTATTAGTGTCTAAAAATTAATTGAGTTTAATATGTTTTGGGTTTCGTATTTGGCGTATTTTTAGCGTATGTGATAACATTATGAAAATCGTCAAATAATGCGCAAATTTTAAACTCACGCATGATGTACAGTGATGATTGGAATATTCATACTGTAAGCCGATTAATGTCTATTATTACGGTATGGCGATAAATATTATGATAAATAATTCCCAAAAGAGTATTAAGGAAATTTTTGAAAGCTAAAAGTAATAAGTAAAATAATTTTTATTTTATACTAAATGAATCTTGATGTTTTTGCAAAAAATGCTCATTTTTTGTATTAAATTTGTAACCGTGGTCTTGACAGTTACATGCTAACGTCAAGTTGGGCGTGGAGCCAGCCGTGAAATTGGATTTAGTTAGGATATGGCTAAGGGCGTCTTTGGCGTCGTAGCAAACGCTTTTAGTAATAGGAATACAACATAGCTAGTTTAATATTAATAATAAACATTTTAACGAAATTGTGGGTGTTATATACTTTGTATATGCAATGTATCCATCATTTAACAGCAGCTCACCTCTAGAAAGAGCTGGCTTTATCTGGGTAGAAATGTGATTATTCTTAAGTACAAGTACAAGTATCGTTCTATTGGTTATCCGAAGTCTTAAATTACTACTATATATATTTTTTTGTTAAGCCCGTCCTAAAACTGTCGTGTCTAGTGTTCAATGCTCTAATTAGGACTTATTTGAAGGAGTGTACTCGAAACACGAAATGAACAGCGTCGAAGCGGCCGGACCGCTTGGAGCTGCTCCAATCATCTCGACGTTAGGCCTTATATAAACGAGGAGGCTTTACCATAACTGATATTTTAAAGTATAGAACTATAGAACGATACGAATATGTTTTACCATCTATGTGTTAGTGTATGTATATAAATTAACACAATTATAATAATTCGACTTAGGGTCCTTCAAGAAAAGAGCGTACCAATTCTTAAAAGGTCGGCAACGCACTCGCGAGCCCTCTGGCATTGAGAGTGTCCATGGGCGGCGGTATCACTTATATCAGGTGTCTCCTGCCCGTTTGCCCCCTGTTCTATAAAAAAAATCTTATGTAACGCCAGAATAGGCGTAGGACCAACAGCTTTACGGGCACATCCGACACACAGGAGTTTTAACTTTTCTTGTTGGAAGAGAACTGCAGTTATGCTTACATTACATTAATGATATAGTTGTTTTATTCTGTCTTACTAGCTATAGACAGTATCTTAATGTTTATTTTTGTAAATGTAATTTGATAAAACAGTCAGTGTTTTTATGTTTAGTAAAAAATATAATCTTTAATGATGCCCGTTAAAACCCTTTGGATAGCTTCCTAATAAATTTATATTACTCCTAAAAACAATAATATTTTGATTCAAGCAAAATATGATTAAACGAAAACAAATCTCAACTAAGCTTTGGGAAAAAACTAGGAGATTTTGGAAAACAATTTCCCAACTTAGTATTAGTTTCTTTAAATAAAAGTTCCAAAAACAAACAAACTTTTCAATTAAGTCTTAGTTAAATGTTTGTTTAGAATTGCTCGTGTTTGCTCGGCTTTACTATAATAAAGGCGCGGAGGCCAAATGTTCCTTACATAAAAACTTTACATCCACCCCCTCTCCCTGCCCTGGGCAAATTGCTTCGTTGCAATTGTCTTCATACAATATGGAGCAAGTTCCACATTACGTAACAACACTGACTATACTATGAACTCTAACAACATTAAACGCTGATCGTGTCAAAAATGGAATTCAATAGGTTTTGCATTTATAAGTATATGTTCATACTTTCATAGATAAACTTTTTATTTAGATTAACAGATAACTTAATTTTAAGATTCCGATTTTTCACTTTAGAGTTTTTTTATGATCAATAATGTAAGGTGATATGGTTATGTAATTGTATAAATTTCCTTATGGAAGAGGTTATCCTCTTAGTGGAGGATGGGGTAGCCACAGTTTTATGACTGGTTACCACTATATTATTCACAAAAAATCGAACTATGCATCACGAAGATATATTAACATAACAGATGTATATGAAGAAGTGCTAAGTGCTAAAATAATAGAACAGAATTGATATCTTTAAAATGTGAATCATACGCGATTTTTCTATAAATATCAAAGGATTTTGTAAAATTTCGCTGAGAAAAGTGCAACGTGTTTTCCTTTAACGAGTTTCACGGGTCTTATGAGATGTTTGTCGTTACCATAACGTTAGGTAGCACTCGTCAGCTGAGTGAATCTAGAATATAGATCATGTCTTGTCTAGATAAAAAGGTCTTCTATCAAGCAATACGTCATCCTTTATGTATTTATAATCTGTTGTTTGAGATTTTGCTTTCGATATGTTAACCTACGTTTTTTGTAGATTTATAATCTGTCCAGAGTTGATGCTGGATAAATCAAGGGTACAAGTTATATGGATTTTCGGCACCTATCTTATGTTAAGAAACGTAGCATTTAAATTGGGATATTGTAAGACTTCTTTTATACCGAGGACGACCCAGACTGCTTACAAAACCGCAGACAAAAGGTTATAACTTTTTATTGAATGTTGAGCAGTTTTTGCATCAATAGAAGTGGTATATTAATTGAACGATAGATTAAGGCCAACGGGTTCATTTGTGTAATTCATTCTCTCGCGTCGGTACTATTAGACAAGTCAGCTTTGAATAGTTTCTATTTAACCTTTATATTTATATTTGCGAAACATGAATATTTCTCAATATCGAAGCAAATTTTGTGAGGTAATCGAATAAACATCTCCAATTAGTTTTGCGACCGCCGACACCTCGCACCGCCACTCGACACTCGAGAGCGTTAAACAGCCTCTTTAATCAATTCCTCGAGATTTTGTAAGCAAATGTTTTGTAACCGCGTGTTGTTTTAGCTTTATTGTATTTACTTAATTTATTCAGCGTCAATTCGAGACGCACAATTTAGGATTCAAATAAACACAGCGCAGTTGTTTTTTGACTAACTTTTAAATTATAAAATAAGTTTTAAACCGATAGAACCTCATTTGCTTCAAGCTCATTAGTCCGGTAAAACCGGTCGCTTAGCAACTAATACCCATCTATCACCTCCTTTCCTCATCTCATCCATGTATCCTGTCTTGAGCGGACTTTCCTGTTGCAGAGCCGCAACAAGCAGCTGTCGGCGAGTACCCCCCGCGAGACCAAGGCACGTGGAACTCGGCCCATAGCCCGCCTCGAAGCCACGACCTACCGTCCCTCCCGGCCTGGTGCTGCACTTCCTCTTTTAGACCATTCCCCCGCACCCTCACATCTACAACGTCGTGCTGATCAATATGTAATTAAACCAGACCCCAAGAAACCTATAGAGAATAAAGAGCAAACTGATTCCACTGAACAACCAGTTGAAATCCAGAAACCTTCTCATTCTGACCCAAGCTCACACCAAGAAGATACACAAAAGTACGAAGTTGAAATTGAGCCTCAGACATTCACTTTGCTGTATCCCGCAACGCAAGAGTTATTAACTGAGCAGTATTTTAACGAACAGAGACGCAGAGCTCTTCAGGCTCAGTACTTCGAGTTATTGCGACAACAAAGAGATTTTGATTTACGAAGTGCCCCTCATAGTGCGCTTTATGTACAAGATGGCAATGTGGAGCAGGCTCGGCTTACCCAACAGTATCAAAGGGTGCCTATCAGTGCTGGTCAGGACTACAGATTTGACCTTGACCCGTTTGGGAGGTCTCTGTAACCCCACCGGCTGGCGTTGCCTAACCGCCCTTCTCCTCTCACCAACTGACCTCGCTCGTCCCGTCCCATCCGACACTAGCGATGCGTTCACCTATGCAATGAGGTTCCATTTATAAATCTACTTGTAAGCGTAACTAATTGATTAAAGATCGTGATAGTCTTGCCTCCTTATCCTTGAAATTGTAAAGTGCGTACACTATTGATAGAGTTTCATACATAATTATTACGGTATCACGTAGATTTAAAGTTTTATGTAATACATTTACTGCATACATTGCACTGCCAGTAAAGAGTGATATAATAGTTGTAGCATATAAAATATTATTTTAGGATAGTCGTAAACTTATCAAGTGCCTTCGTAAAAAGGCTATTTTGAAGTTGAGTACAGATGCTCTTATGTGGGGATAATTTTTTTATATTCCTACGAAAATATTTAGATTTTTGATTCAGTGAAAGGTTATATCGTGTTGAAGAAATTAATACTTCTACAAGACTTATTCGCAAAACGAAGTCTTATGTAACATGACATTAAGCATAAAATAAGTTAGTCTTATTTTTTATTTGGCTTTAAAATTATTCTTCAAAACTTCACTTACCCGCATATATGAAAATCGTGCTTCGCTTCATTATTTTGGAATAATACAATAACTCGAGATAATCTTGCCTATACTATATAGACATTTAATGCTGCACGGTTTACATGTAGATAACATTATATTCTGATGTTAATTATTATGATTATAGCCGTGTGAGGTCTAGTGAGTTTGTAAGCCGCAGTGATTGCTCTATTAAGTCATAAATTATAGAGATGTTCGCTTCATCAGATGTTCATGTTTTCTCCTATAGCTAACATTATTGATTTTTGGTGTACATAGCTCTGAAATCGTGTTGTGATTGATGAAGTTGGATGCACGTGAGACCATTGGGTTTATTTCATATTGTACGATTTCAATTTTTTTACATAAAAGCGGATAATATAATTTAACTCCGCTAATTAAATTTTTAGTCTTGAAACATACAAATGACTTGAATGTCGTGTTACGTAGAAAATCAGATATTCGTTCGTGGTTTGTGAATCTAAAGACAACTGTACTCTTTGTGATATCAAATAACTGTAAGTTGTTACTATTTTTCTACATTTTATATTATAGTTTGTAAATTTATATAATAAACGATAAATACTCATAGCAATAAAGCTTGGCGCGCACTTCGCGTTTCATTTTTATCCATTACATTTAATGCTTCATGAAAACACGATAAATTGTTTCTAAGAATTATAAAGAAACTTCTCTTTGAAAAATATTTTGAAACGTATTTTTCTAGTTTAAGAAAGAAGTTTTAGATAGTTTAAATTTAAGCAAGCCGTGATGGTTTGTTAGCATAATATTTAAGGATTTCTTTTTAATTTTTCCAGAAGTCAAATATTATTTTTTGTGAGAAACTTCGGGTTTCTGATTATTATGATAGCGACCAGGTAAAAGTAATGTTTTTATAAGTATAGTTTAATTACTGAATTATCATGAACTATTAACTTTAAGCGACATGCGCTTACAAACGTAAAGGTGCGTAATAAGAAATATACTAATGAATAGCTCACTCAAATACTAATAGTAATAATAATTATGAAATATACGATGCATACAAAACACTTCATTTGCGAAACAATTATCTACATTGTCATAGTGTAGGCTAAAGAATAAATAAGTGAGCATGTAGAGCAGCGGTCGCACACAATAGGAAATCTATATAATGTATAACTCTAAAGCGAATTGGCAACGACTGTAGTTTTATTATACCAGGCTTTCAAATAGAGCTTTCTAGAAAAACTGAATTGGATTTATTCATACTTTTTATTTATCTTTCTATTTTTATTATTGCGTAACTAGATTTGTATCAATAATTATTTCGAGAGCACATGGGTCTATTAGCTATTTTAATCTTAATTTAAGAACTACGTCTAAATTGTATTTCCATGTAAGATGACCTCATTAGGGTTCTTTGTTTATAGTGCTAATGATTAACAAATTATTGAATCAATTCTTTTAATTTCCTGATCTTGGACACACATTGCAGCCGTTTCTTTAATCATTTTTGTTACTTAGACAAGTACGAGTAGGTGATCACCCTACTGTCTGATATATCATTTTTTGAATTTGAGACATGCCGGTTTCCTCACGCTGTTTTCCTTTACCGTATGAGCGAGTGTTAAATGCGCACATAGATAGACATTCCATGGCTGCACAGCCGGGGTTCAAACCTACGACATCAGTGATGAGAGAATCACGCTGAAACCACTCATCCATCGCTACTCTAGATTGATGTTATACCTATGATTAGTTTGACATTATTAAGGTTTTTTTAAATCACTGTACCTTAAATGTTACGAAGAATGTTTGTATATGGGATCTTTACATTAATTCAGAGGTCTATCAATTTCTTTTCTAAGAAGTGGAAAAAATGAGAAACGTAATAAAGAACTGAGTTATAGGTTCTGTACGCATTGCGGAGACCCGGTGACCCAAAGTGACCCGAATCACCCTCATGAATAACTTTACGCCATAAAACGAACCAATATCTATGTCTCATACTAAAAATCAAATTTGCATTCTTAAATTACATTTTGATTTGCATTTTATTTCAACCGAGGACATACTTTCGGTGATCGTGTGCATATCCTATACATTAAAAATCATACAGTTATGTTTACATACAGTGAGCGTTTTTTATAAGTAAAAAAATATTAATATTATTATAACTATACAGTTATTAAAGGGTATTATCCGTTTTTAAATACTCCTACTGATAAAGTAATGTAACACCTTAACATGTTGATTTTTGTATTAGCAAAATTAAAAAACCCTTTAAAGCATTACTTTGAGGTTTTTACCATAGCTGTTGTGCATATTATATAACTGAAATGCGCTTGGGTAAATAGTGACAAAACATAGAGAATATAATAGAGAATTTAGTTAAGTTATTACCGGTATTTTATTTCAAATAAACCATATTTTGTTTAGTTTGTTACATTTATGGATTTTTCTTAAAATTCTATCGACTATGTATATTCGAAGCTAACTATAGTTTTGTAATTCACAAATGTTGAGCATAACGTGCATATTAGTTTCATGTAACAGGTTAGTTCTTGCTTTTTATTTAAAAAGAAAAAATACCGAAGTTACCAAAAAACGACACATGTTTATAAGGACATTAAAAACCTATTTTGACTTTTTATTAATTATCAACCACAAATTAATGATAGAATGTTGGAGCAGTCGGTAGACGTACGAACCGAGTCGTCACTATGGTAACGGCGTGAACTAGAAAACCTGTCGCCAGATAGTTATTACTTCAAATTGAGGTTCCGCCGGCCCGAGGCAAATTGGCCGCCTTTGTAACACATAACCTGGTTACGTGTCTACGTATATCTATTTAGAACACTTCGTAGACTTATTGACAGTTTAGTAATAAAGCGAAATGTCGAGACCGCTTACGTAATTTCATATTAAATAACAAACTAATGCTTCTTTCAATCTTAAAATTAGATTTAATAAGAATAGCACGTGTTATCGAAAAATACTTTTACTATTGTCTGTAGTATTCATTAATTATAATAGCATAGAATGAAGATTTTATTAGTAAATTCAGCCTATACCGTCTGCCATAAATGTCCTAAACACATAAACATTAATCAATTAATTTAATTGTAATCGATTTGCTTGTATGTTTTTTACTAATTAAAAATTTTAATATGTTTTTTTTCGTTTTGGCTATAATAAATAAAAGATGATTGAAACCCATCCATAATCTATATGTCTGTTTTTAGTCAAAGCTGAACTGCGAAGTATTATATGATGACCTGGCATTCGAGGTGAGGTGGGCGGTCGCTGGGGACAGTGTCGTCATACAACTCGTCGCTAAACTAGGTAAAGAATAAGAAGAATTAAAACATAACATTTATTTATGGTTTAGTACGCTCTTCGTAGGTGGAAACGCACAGGTATAACTCGGAGATTTTGGGTTAAAAGTCTCTCTTTTGAACTGACAAACAAATTAGACACACACATGTGACTGTTGCATAGTATATACAATGCATTTTTTTGTAGTTCGTGAGCGCACTTAGTTAATACGGTGCGTTGTTTTCGCAGTGCTGGAACCCATTCTGTGGAAAAATATTTTTGCTTGGTAACGACGTGTTGAGCTATTAATTGCCTGAAAGAAAGTAATAATTTAATTACGAAACAAACATTCATCATTTATTTTCAGAGGACGGTGAATACATGTCGTTTGGTATTTCGGGCCATCCAGAAAAGTCCCAAATGATTGGCGGAGATATTGGCGTGACCTGGATCGACAAGGAAACGTTAAAGGGCTATGCTGATGACTACTTCCTCGAATCCAAGAGCCAATGCGCTGGAAGACACGGATCTTGTCCAGATGAAGTTTTCGAAGTAAGCTAGATCATTATTAAGTAGGGCTGACAAAAAATCAAGATCTTGAAGTTGTCATAGGTTCGACTCGTGGCGAAACAGGGGTTGTTTGTTTAAAGGTAAAATTAATAACAAAGCATTTAGAATTTTCCCTAATTAAGACGGTACATCAGAATTATATTCCATATTGTTCATATAATCAACACAGCAATTTAAACGATTAATTTAAAGTAAGATTTAGTAAAACGAAGCAGATAAATGCTGTAACAAAAGTCAACTTTAATACGGGTTACGAAAATATGTACAAACTAAGTTTATTTTAATTAAAACGACTTACGAATACTTCACCTAATCTAAAACAATATTCAGTTCATGCGGTTTACTTCTGAACATATTCGTGGAATTGCGACATTATGAGCTACGACGTACATATATAACTTTATACCCTGTGACGCAACAATAAACATAATTTTACTTTTAACATCATACCAAGGACTGCCTTAAGACGTTACATATAGGGCTTATAATTTTGTGCAGTAATTCAATAGCGATGGCTGTCAAATTAAGTTAAGGTGTACCTCGCAGCTAAATATTACCAGTCGATAGTAATCTCGGCTCTTGCCTCGATTGAATTAAACCATAATATTATATTGATATTGGAACATGTGCGCTCGAGACCTCGCTAATGGCACGTGACGGTTTCTCAATATACCTTAGTTTGATAAGGAAAATTAATGTCTCCATGTCAAAAGTTATGGGTCAAACTAATCAGGCGCGTCGTTTGAAAGGTTGACCGAAACTTTGTCATTAATTTTTTGAAGTTATTTTGGCGCGTTAGGGAAAAATTATGAGTGTTAATTTTTACGATGCGCACACCGTCACAAAAAAAAGACACACTGAAGTTAGCTATAGTCAACATTTTAGTTTTTTCTATTGTTAGTGTCGCTTTCTACAAACGTAGAATAAAATTTTTGAAAAGATTTTTACCTTGTTACACCAAAGAAGTATAACTTCTAACGCGTGTACGTATACATAAGGAAACACACATTTTTTATTTAAACTCAAGTTTATTATTATTTATGTCAGATAAATTGGTGACTAGTTACAGATGCTGTCAATATTTTTTTCTGATTGAATTTGTCTTGACAGAGATCAAGGTGAGATTGTGTCTTAAATTAATTAGAATATGGACCCTACGCTTTGATAACTCTTTAACCGCCGTGGCCATGTCCTGACGACAGGCCTGATGAACATTCTTATTACATATACCAATGGCGCTACAACCTTTTAGGTCTGGACCCCAGATTTCTGTATTTCTAATAAGCAAGTTGGTGATCAATCTTCTATGCCTGACACTCACCATCGACTAAGGCATGCCGGTTTCCTCACAATGTTTCCCTGCACTGAACAGGCGAGTGTTAAATGACATAGACAGAAAGTCCATCCATTGGTGCACAGCTGGAGATCGAACCTACGACCCCAGGGATGAGAGTCGCACGTTGAAACCACCAGGCCAACACTGGTGTATTATATACATAGATTAAAATGAATTTAATCGTATTTTAATAGCCAAACACTGGCTCCATCCGTCTTCTGAATGCGGCACTAGTCAACGGTTACTCGATAGTGACGTACCAGCGACCTCTACGGGCTTCGGATAAACTAGACTTGCCTATATTTACAAACGCCTCGCAACCGATTATCTGGGCTATAGGACCAATCAACTCGGAGGGCCAGGTTTCCTACCATCAATACTTTACTAAGGTTTGTTAATTTTATATCATTATACATTGTCATATAAGTTGGTACAAATCGAATTATGGAATACATTTCTTCATTATGAAGAAAGTTATACGTTAATACGCTATACATTTTGGAATGTTTATAGAGTAACTAGCTGCTCCGGCAAACGTTGTTTTGCTATGTATATTATTTCTAGGAAACATTTTTTTAGTTCAGTAAAAATAACTATCTACTATAATAAAAAAATGGGGTTTTATAGAGGGTGAAAATTAGGGGTTGTATGTATATTTGTATGCTGTATCATAAAGAAAAAAATAAAAAGAAATTGTCTACAAAATAAAAATATTTTTTTTGGGGTGGACCACCCTTAACATTTCGGGGTTCGAAAGATAGATAGTAGCCGATTCTCAGACTTACTGAATATGTATAAAAAATCCATAAGAATCGGTCGAGCTGTTTCGGAGGAGTATGGGAACGAACATTGTGACACGGGAATTTTACATAGAAGATTATGATAATATTTTACAGTTGAAGATGAAACAAAAGAGATTATTATCGTAGATTCATATTATAACAGCAGGACCAAATTAGTTCTGAGAAAATTTGCTACAATGTGTGCATTACAGGGAGACAAGTTTTTGGAGTTCGGTCGAGCTCCCTTATGGAACTGTCCAATGCCGGAAGAAGAAGAAGAAGATGGGTCACCCCAGCTTGCTTCACCCACCGTTAGACCCCAGCAGCCAAGCCGGGAAAGTAGCTCGCAGGTCTGTTCTCTCCTTATTATTAACTATTCAGGCATGAAATATGAATATTTTTACTGTACGCAATTATAACAACTTCAAAGTTATTTATTTTGCGTTGAATTTTTTGGAAACTGCAATTAAATAGTTTTTAAATATATGCCTACATGTATGTGTTTGTGAAGATGTTCCAAGTGTGTGTAATGTTCCAAGTGTATATAATTATCTTGTAAGTATAGTAAAATAATTCAGTTAAAATTAGTTTACTTTCAACACAAAAAAAGTAAATGTATTCATATGTTTATCTTACCCTTTTATAAAATGTTCTCGGTTTCGATTTAAATGTTAAATATTTCATTTGGAAATTAGTATGTCCTTATAAGCTTAATACAAATTCGAACAACCCGTATGAAAACACAAATGTTTACCCGATAAGTCTTTGTACAAACATTGTTTAAGGCACCACAATTATTTAAAAACACATTTATAATTAAAGTTTTACGGTACTGAATCTTGTTTATATGAAGATTATTCAGTAAAATCATTTAATATATTATCGCTTAGATTGTTAATTCATGCTTTAGCAAAGAAAGAATGCATACACATCATTTTTACATCCCTACAGAAAAATTATAAGTAGCTTGTATTAAACTAGGGCTTAGGTCATTAACCATGGAATGATTTGTTTAGGCTGTGATCAAGCCAAATCCAGTTCCTCCTCCCGCGCCAGTCGCCAAGTCTGTCCCCTGGGAGATCCCCGGAATAGAATGCTATGAACCACCAGATGGTGTTTTCTACGCTCAAATGGGACCTACAGGTGGCAAACAGGGGTACTCCGCTATTACGGGTATGTTAACTCAAGTTTTATTTCGATAATATTCTATCATAAAGATTGTGCATTGAAAAATGCATTAAATTTTAGTACGTATTGCCCTTATTTATTTTTAAAACGAATTACATTCTAGGCCATGTCGGATGGGGTATATCGTGGTACATTAACGGTCTACTGATACCAGAACTGACCCTTGTGCGAGGCAAAAAGTATACTTTTGTTGTGGAGGGTGGTTCTAACTCAGCGGAGCCTGCGCGTTTTCATCCATTTTACATCACCAATGACCCTGTTGGAGGGTATTTCCACAAGAACGATGCGGAGAAGAAGGTAAGAGATTTATTTATTTTATTATTGCACCTCTCACCTTAAAGATTTTAATAATTATTTCGGTAATTAAATAACTACAAATAAGTCAGTTAATATAATTTATCTTATGTAGGGCGTTGAAATATATGCGGGAGTACGTCGCACGCGCAGCGGTGATCTAATACCCACCGGCGTGGGTCGGCTTTGCAACTGGACCCCGGATTCAGAAGGTCCAAGTGCCGATGAGTATCCCAGTTTCGGGGCTTACCAGCGGTCTCTCACACTTGTTTGTGAAGAAGGAAATCCGGGTGTAGTCACTTGGATCCCAGACAAGAATACTCCGGATACTGTATACTATCAGGTACCATTACATTACAATGGTGTCACACATTTATCTAATTTCTATTTCACTGTGGACTCTAACACTTTTATACTATATCATGTTTATCAAATTATCAGTTCTCATTCTGGTCTCATATTGAATCGATTTCCTTTCTGTATATAATCCATCCTTTTTCTGTTTCAGCTCTTCAAATCTTCTTTCGCATGAGGTTCTATTCAATAGATGGTGACGATTATATAATTTTAATTGGATATTTGCATCATTTTATTAACATTTATTATTGTTTTCAGTGTTTCACACACCGACATCTTGGTTGGAAAATAAATATTGTTGATGAGTGTGACGCCACTGAAGCTGAGGAGAGTCGGGTTGTAGAGAGCGTAGCACTGCCAACAGATCTACTTAGTGAAGAGTCAATACAGGTACAGAGTCGTGTAAAACCGGATTCTAGCTTTTTTGATCATCGCAAGAAATTCGAAAAAATAATCAATACGAAACAAAATTATAACGATTTCAGTAGTAATAATGGTGAAGGCGGTCTTAAAGGAGAAATTTACCCTGAACCCGATAGAAAATTATATACGAACGGACACGAGTATGAATTGCCAATATCTCATGGACAAATTAAAGAAGTTATAGAAGCAGTGGAGAGTTTAGAAGAAACAATGAATAGCGAGCTCCAGAAAAACTCCACTAATCCACTAACCCCACAACAATACCAAGTATATGAAGATGTTAAGGAAGGCTTTGCTTCAGAACAACCGATAAGAGGTGATGAATATGTCATTGAAACCAGCAAAGTCCCTGAAACTTTTATGTTGCCTCCGAACCAAAAACCGCAAACACTTCATGCTGTTATGCGACCAAACTTACAAAACAAGCCAATGGGAAATATGCGACCACCATACAGGCGTCCAGCTCCACCTGAAATTAAACTACGTAGGCCTTATCCTGCCTACCCGAAAAGCAATACAGGTTATCCGTTACCAATGCCAAATCCACATATATCTCATGGAGTCCCCAAAAAACCAAACAAGTACCCTAATACAAGACCACCAATGAATGGAAATAGACAGACACAAATGCCGAATATTCCTCCAATGAAAGCCATGCCACCGCTTCACCCACATAAGGCTTTCTTTCAACAAGCACCAAAACCTGCACAAAAACCGACAAATAACTTAGCACAGTCGGTTATAATGGGCAAGCCTAGCCACAATGCACCCGTGCCATCTCAAAGTCAAACTTTAAGCTTAGGCCGCACAGACATAATAGCAAATCAAGTTGTTAAAAGTCAGATAACATTGCCGGGATCATCTAATGATGCAGTACCACAGCAGAGCGCACAACAAACATATTTCACTAAACCCGGACAAATAATACTTGGTAAACCTATGGACCATCCGATGTCACTGGACCAACATATTGCATTAATAACCCAGCAAAACGGGCCTCCTTCAACCCTTGAACCTGAATATCACCAACCAACTGTAACTCAAGTTAAAGTTGTAGAACAACCACATTCTTCACAAAATGATGTTAAATCTTCTGATTTCATTGGTCAATCTACTGACACATCTTTCCCTCCTGCCCTAAATACCGGCTTCAAACCCGATTCCATAGTAATTGAAAGTGGTTTCAAACCCATAATAAGGGAACCTCTAATGGCAAGTGAAGACAAAATTGCCGAATATGAAGGCAATGCTAATAGACGTGAAGATACTGATATTGAAGAAGACTATGAAGAATCACCACAATACATCAACACCAACCATGCATATCCGAGCGATAAAATCACAGAAACTTTTGAACCCATGTTCATTCCATCTCCTCCGGATCATCTAATCTCAACTAACGATAAAACAAAAGAAATTTTTCCAAAAAATCACGCCAAAGAAGATAGACCACATCCAGTTTATGTAAAAACAGAGTCTGAACTGAATGCTTTATTCAGTAAAAAAAATATTGAAAAAGAAGTTGGATCTGATTTAATAATGGAGTCAGATAGACTCAGACCAAGTTATTTACCGCCAGATCCTAAAATACCGAAGGAACACTCACAAAAGCTATCTAATGATCAAACGTTTACAACATATGATGGAAAAACAGTTTCCGCAGATACTTTAACTAGTATACCAGATATTAATAAAACCCCTGTGAAAATTTATTCAGCAAAATTACCAGCTAATACAGAATTGTTGTTAAAAACACCACAGTTTGGCCCATTTTTAGGTGAAATACCGCCACAAGTAATGGAACATATTAGAAGAGACGGAGCAAGTGCACCAAAATCCAGTTTCAAGGATACTCGGACAACTCATTTAAAGTTGGTAAATCCTTCTCATAAGCATGAAGATATAACCGGTGATTTAGAAGCAGAAGGAAGTGAAATAAAAGAAAAAACAGCAAAAAGTAACTCAGATAAAAACAACGAAGATGAAGATTTGGAAGAGTACGAGGAAGATTTAGACACCGATGAACAATCACGAACAAAACGTGACACTAAAGCTGCACAGTTTGAAAGAAATGAAATTGAAGAACAGAGGCAAGTTACTGAAAGATTAAATAACAATAAAATGAATCAGATGGAGTTTGAGGAGCAATCGACGCAGTCTAACAGCTCCATAACTAATACGACGAGTTCAATTGTGCAGCTGATTCTTTTAATATTATGGTATAAGGTGTGCTAAGAAATAAGGGAGTTATTTATTTATTGGTTTAAATTATTGGCTTGCCATCAAATGCATTTCGTATGTAGGCTGTGGCGTCCTTCGTACACGCGACAGGATCGCAAGTGGTTGCCACCAACTCTTCAGGTCCCTGACTTCTATTACTCGATTACCAGTTTTCGCGTAATGCAATTCAATACTCTGTTAGTTTTAAAGATGTTGTAAATATATTTCTTTTATTAATTTTAATAAATTAGAATTTAATTTTATAATCGTGTCTTATTGTCAAAAATAACCAAATGAAGCAAAAGTAAGACTCCGAACTCCAAGAGTTGTGAGAATTACATCACATATAGGACCCACTCCTACTACTTACTCCTTAAATCATTGATCATTAATGTGTTTAATGGATATGCAAACTCTTTTTGCCCGTATATGACGCCAGTCCTACAAATTTAAATAGCACTTATTTTACCTATATAAACGCGTATTTATTAAATGTTCTCTTTGTTTATATGATTGTATTTATTATAATCAAAACTAGAGTGGTTAATTTTTATTTATTAATTGAAACCACAACAAAACTCTACCTATTTGCGTAGATTTGCAACTTTTATAATAATTATTGAACGGGCTGTTAATTTATATATAAATAACAACCGTGTATATCACATGTATGTACAATATCGGCTGTTATTGTTATAGAATATAACTTAAGTTAGAAAAAGGCACAACACAACATGTGCATCACTTATTAGTACGCAGTGCTTGAACACTAGAAATCTTCTTGGTGACCCGAGTGAAGCTGGCCACCACCTTCTCGTGTTGAAACTGTGAGTCCACCAGTCGCAAAACTGAGTCACGTCGCCTACCACTAAAAAAAACCACAATGGTTACAGTTATAGTTGTTATAGTTGGCGTCTATGGCGTATTATACAAAGGGGTCCTGGGTCCGAACCCTGATACAATAACTCAATAAATATACACAGATTTATACACTTATATACAATGTGATTGATAAATTCTACAATATATATAGGCAGAGACGTAAATTTTTATAGTCATGTTTTGTGAATGATATGGACAAGAAGGCCAATTTAAACAGAAGCTAACTATAGCTAACTTCAGGGTGTCGGTTTTTTTAAAGATTTACTCTCATCATTTTTCCCTAATGCGCCAAAAGAAGTATAATTTCAAAAGTAGGCTCCACAAAAATATTAAGTTGAACTTACTGTTTGTCAGTGAGAAGTCTGGCTGCAGAAACTAGAGTAAGGCCAGCACGGTCAGTCACCTCCAAAGGACTACCACGTTTCACTAACTCCTCTATAACACTCGTGCTTGCTCCTTGACAAACTGGGTATGAATTAAAAGTAAATATAGCTTATTGTATATTTTAGAATTAAAAAATAACGGAATAAAATTGTATGTCATGTTTACTTATAATAAATCAAGAGTAAAATAAAGAAGAAACATTACGTAAGATATATGTTGGAAATAGTATATAGATAATTTATTTATAATTCAATTCCACTTTCAATGTAGTACTTTAAGTCATGTAGTGCAATTAATAAATTTAATGCTCTATTAGTTAACGACAGATCGAAGGACGGTCATCTATCATACGGCTTATAGAAAACCGATCAGATTAAAAGAAAAATAATTTAGCCTCATTTAACGAATTTGAGTACGACTGTTCGATAATATTTAAATGAAACCCCAGATTCGTCAACAGTATATCGAAGTAAAGCGTAAAACCCGTTTGGATTAAGCTCAAAATATTCATGAAATCGTTTTTAAATGGCTCCAGCAATAAATGTTAAAGCATAGAGAAGTAATATTTTATGTTTTCATTTCGACAACGTTTATTTCAGTGGGGTTTTCAGCGGTTTACGTCAGCGCTGTTCGCTTACATAAGTTTAAAAGACTGTAAAAAGTGTAGGTAGAATATATATTGGTAAGAGTTTACATGTATTTATTTAATACTTTTTAAATAAATACATATAAACGTTTTTATTACTTCATCGCCCAGTAATACAAAACGATCAGAGAACTTAAGATATTGCTTATAAAGCAACCCTAGTAACGTAAAATATAGAAAATATGGGATTTTGAAAGAAGCGCATAATTAGATAGAACATTTTTAACAATATTTCTTATAGACGTGATATAACGACTATAGTTGTATTTTCATATTTTTTTTTATTTATATCATCATCAGGTCAGGCAGTTATCGGAGCCCATAGACACTCATTTTTAGTGGCCGGCCTTTAAAATAATTAAAAAAAAATATCTAATGATTCCTATGATTGATGACTCTATAGTAACAAACAAACTTCAGTAAGAAAATAAATAAAGAAACAAAGTTAAATTTCTAAATTCACTAGCTCTGAATAGGGGTGTCCATCCATTACTATCCGTGACATTGAGGTCTCCTCGGTCCAGCACAAATCTTAGGGTTTCTAGATTACCAGAGTCGACTGCAAGGTGCTCCACGCCTAGGTGGTTTATATCTCGAGCCTGTATGTATAATATAGTTTGATTAATTAAGAGTGTTGTTAAAAGAACTCCATTTTAGAGATCAATATAGTTGTGTTTAATCCTAACAAATCACTTAATAAAAAAGCGAAAATTCTAGAAATGCTATTTCATACTAATCGTGTCATATTACGAGTATATGAATCTATAGGAAAAATTACTAAACAGAATAAAACAATTTTATATTAATTGGTGGTACTAGAGCTATGTTTGGGGCACCGCAAAAAAGGAATCTCGATGAAGTCACAGCACTGACTAAATACCTGTATATCAGCGCCATGATCTAGTAGTAGTTCCACGAGTAAGCAGAGTCCAGTTAAAACGGCTAGGTGTAGTGGTGTACGTCCGATACTCGAACGCTGCTCCAAGTCTGCTCCTCGGACTAACAGAATACCCACCATATTGGTATCACCTGAAATATAATAATAATTTGTACAAAATCAAACGCAGGCACCACACTTTAATATACAATTAATATGATATTGATGCTTTAACGACCTCATCGCTTATTCACTCACTCTTTTAAGGTAATGACAAATTGTCTGACATAACACTTGTTTTTATTAAATATAATTTCAGTGTTAATTGCTCAAAATAATAAATAGAACTTAACTCAATCACAATTTTAACTAATGTAATAGTCTTTTTCGTTACAGCGTAAACATAATTTGCCAAAGAAAAACTTAAAAATATTGTATTTAAAGATGTATTCATTATTGCGTTCTTATAAGATTAAGCTTTATTTAAATAATACAGTCGTTCGATTGCACTATGTTGGAAGCTTACCCTTTAAAACAGCAGTTGCAAGCGGTGTTAAGCCTGTAGCAGCGTTAATGGCAGACAGAAGGATTGGGCGTTCTTCTATCATCTGCTGCACCTAGATAGGAAGTGCAATTCGTTAAAGTCAATCTACTTCTGACTATGATGGCATACTTGCCTTTGCATAATGTTAGCAATTATTTATTTGGCTTAAGAAATGTTTACCATACTTCTCGTATCTAGATTCCTTTGAATAAACTGCGTATCTTTCTTCAATTCAGGAAAAACATTTCAATTCTAATTCAAAGGCAAAATAGTTTAGAAATTGCGTTGTATTATTTTCAGAAGGCTCAAAGGGTTTATGGCAATCAAAAGTTGTTATGAAGAGAATAGACATTTAACAAACATTTTCCTTTTAATCATTATGAACAACAGTAAACCACCAATCCATTATCATCTACATTTGGTAGAAATATCTCAAAGTTTCGTTCACCCCGCACATAATAGAATTTTATTTATATTGAAGGTTCAGCTGTTCGATACAAATGACTTTCTAAATCCCTTTGTACCCAGGCGAGTTCAATCACGAAATAATTGACAAAGTGGTCCTCATTAACCGGCCAGATGATATTCCGTTTTCATCTAAAATGTTCCAAACGGAATAAATGACAACTATTCGAAACTTTGGTATGGTTCAATTGTACTAATAATTAGAGTCCCATTTCACCCATTCAAATCTTACCTAAGCTAACTAAATAACGTTTTTGAGGCTATTATATGCATGTATTTCAAATCTTACAATGTATGTTACAAAGATCTTAATTTGAATATGTTTTTTTATAATAAATAGATTTCATATTACATACATTTCTTATTAGATGCTATAGGAGAAGCGACTGCACTAACACTAACCATCATAGCCGTCGCTAGTTGCTATTTGCTTTCGAAAATTATATTAGAAACAGAAACTATGACAAATAAGTCTTTCATGTACATTCACGATAAAGATTATCACCCAATTTTATGTCCTTCAATAAACCAATCAAGTGAGTCTCCATTTGACGCTCGCGGCGTAATTGTTTTTCAAACAAAATAAACACAAATGAATGTCTGCGCTCAGTGCAGACGCGACACGATTGTCGTTGACAAGTTAATTAGTGACTGATAATTAATTTGTTCATTCTCTGTGCAACGGGAGGTTGGTTCGCTGGCTTCATTTATTCGTTTTATTTATATATAATAAAATGATAAATAACATACATAGATTATTCAAATATCTGGTCTGAGTGCAAACTATGTATCGAATCTTTATAGGATACAGATGAACTATTGGACGTATAGATTCTTTTAATATATAAATTTAATCTTTAAGAAATCAATACTATATCAATACCTTGTTATTGAAAAAAGACAAAAGAGTACTTTAGTTAAAACTGTGCATTGGGACGGAGATATTTTTATGAATGGTAGTAATCTTTAATATAATATTTATAAAATTCATACGGATAAAAAATTACTATGCATAATAGAAAATATTGCTTACCTGTTTGGCATACCCGCAACGGACAGCCATGCACAGACAAGCAACTGTAGTGCCATCACTGTCAGTATTTGCCCAGGTCTCTTCAGACCACAGTGACTGTATAACCTTTTTCGGGTCTTTATTTTCCCTATTTGTAAATGGGGCATTAAAAATATTTTTTTAAAAATTAAAAACTATTTATAGA